CGGGGCTGAGGGCGGCCTGCGCGGGGCCGCTGTCACCTGCGGGGCCGGGTGGTGAGGGGCGGCGGGGCCGCCGATCCCCTCAGGGATCCGGCCTTCCCCCGCCATCCCCGGTGTTGCGGGGCATCGTGCGGGCTCCAGCGCCGCCCTCGTCCCCGGCCTGGCCCGGGGTAAGCGGCTCCGGTGGTCGTCGCCCCAGCCGGTCCCCGAGTAGCCCCCGGTGCTGCCCGGCCGCTCCGTGTTGCCTGTTAACCTGAGGGGTTTCATGGTTGAATTGCTGGACCTTGTCTTCAATTAGGTCGTTCTTAGGGGCGTGAATGCAGCATGTACGTGAAGCAGCTTGGGTGTTTGGGTTTTTTTGTTTTGTTTTTTTTTCTTTTTAAGCAGTTGGGAGCGTGTATGGAAATGCAGTGTGAGGGAAACTGTCCTAAAATGGAAGGTTGAGCGGCTTTGACTTTGCAGGCCTGCCGCTCGGCTGTTAGGTAGGGCTTGCGGTGCCTCAGCGCAGGGATTCAGCCGGCTTTGCGCGATGCTTTTGTTCTAGGATGCATACATTTCTCGTTCCTGTGGAACAGGAATTGCAACCCTTGAAGCCTTCTGAATTTCTAAAGGGCCAGGTCTGTGAGCTGTCTGGGATGTTAAAGGCACCCTCTTGGACCTGGTAATCTGTCCAAACCGATGCCTTGCTCGGGTTAGAATCAGATATGGTGGTCAGGTCCTGTGATAGGAAAGAGTGACATCTAAAGAGACTGCAATCAAAACCCTGTGGTTCTATATCTGTGCCTGGACCACACAGCTATTCCATGTGCTGTTATGCAGATTATATTTTTTTTATCATCCACGTTGCTTCACAGGGAACGGTGCAGTCTCTCCTGAGCCTGCTTGGGGTGTTTGTATTTGCCTCTCTGCTTGGAATGTGCTCTCAAACTCACAAGCTGAGATTTTGCAGCTCCAGAGATTTGGATCAGATTTCTTGGATCAAGGAATTCTGAGCGTAAGGCGGCATTGAGTTTGCTGAAAAATACCTTTCTTTTCCTCCTGCAACATTAGTAGTATTAATAACACAAAAACTGAACTGCAGAAGTTCCTCACGGAGCCATACTGCTACTGCTTCATTCTTTAAAGTGCAAGGATATCTAGCCTGCTTGACTTGGAATATGAAAATATCTGAGGATGGCTGATGGGGAAAATCTAAAGCTTGTAATTACAAGTAGCTGTTGTGTGTAGCGTACTCAATTCAAGGTCTTCAGCAAACGGCCTTAGCCTATTCTGAGGATGGCATGATTGTAACGAATTTAAAAGGCAGCTTCTAAATTTGGTAGATGCTGTTTTACAGCTACAAATCAGCCAACACGAGGTTGGAAGTAAGTCTTTGGTTCTTGAGAAGCAAATCCCCAAGTAGCCATTTGCTTCAAGGGCAAGTACAAGGTTGGTGTCAATGGGAAAAACAAAACCAGTAATTCAGAATGGTAGGAAAGACAACTTTGAAATAGTTATCTGGGTAAGTGACTCTCCTGTTTCTTGAGTAAAGTCTCTGTAGATGGTTCTTCTGCCTTATGGCTCCACTAGAAATGAGTATTGCATGGGGGTTTTTTTTGGAGGAGGTAGGGGTAGGTTATACTTTTGCTGGCCGGGGTGTGTTGCGCTCCAGTGGGGAAGAATAAATGGTTTCTTTTCTCTCTTTCCCTCCAAGAAAACAACACTTTGATTAATGTGAGCAATAGGAGGTAGTAGTAGGTTTTTGTGTTTTGTTTTTCTAAATCTTGGTAATACAATTAATTGAAATGAGTAGATTCAGAAAGGCTAATGGCATGCAATTTTTCAAATGTGCAGCAGAGAGGGAGAGAGATTCTGGCCCAAGGGGATACACTGCTTGATAGATGGGGCTTCTGGTAGTCAGATAAATAGACTGCCTGCCACATCCTCCTCCCCTGCTCTGCTAAATTCAGGTATGTTAAGTTCAGTTCTGCTAAGCTCAGGTATGTTAAACATTTTAATACACTAAATATAACCAGCGGTAACTCCCCAGAAATCCTCACAAACAGGAGGGCAGACGGTTTATTCATCAGTGGATGGTTTTGCGTGGGAGTTCCCGATGCTGTGTGGCTGGAGGAAGCGCTGCCGTACGGCACTGACCTTTACAGGCAGTAGGCTGAACCCTGGCTGTGGATGGGGGGGCTTGCCTTTCTGCAGATCCTGCCTGACTCCTGAAACAAGGGCACTCGATAACACAAGGCTTCTGCTGTCTTTTGCTGCCTTTAATTTTTGGAGATACTAATCTACAGAGAGTAAAATATGATCGTAGAATAGTCCTTTTTGGTTAGGGTTTGAATTGTGGTCATACTGGGTAGTTTGTCCAAAAGTAAAAACAGTTTGTGTGGTTTTGTAGGGGTTTAGAGAAAAAAAAAATGTTTTTTGTTTTTGTAGTTGGACCATTTAAGGCTTATAGTTGTAGTCCATGGTGTCCCATTTGCAGAAAAGGACTCTTGTATGAATTATTGTTAAGCTCTTAAGCTCTCTTAGTTTGATACTGCATGTGCCTTGGTTCCAAAACTTTGCCTCTGCGGTTGGGCTGTGTTAATGGCCTGGCGAGGATGGATTAGTTCTGTAGGAAAGGTAGAAGAAAATGTTTACTACTACTGACTCAGGGGAAATACAGGCATACTTTAGTACTTGAGGTCAAAAGGTTGCTTGGTTTGTCATAGTCTTTCTTGTGATTCTGGTGTTGGGAGGTCACTCGGTGAACCAGTCACTTCTTGTAAGTACTTGCTGATCTGTCCAGTCTCGCAGTGTTAAGGGTTAGTGTTTACATTTGGAAGGGTGTTTAAAAAAAAAAAAAACAACAAAAAACAACCATACCTAGTGTGGTGCAATGTGGCTTAGTGTACCTGACCCAGGCTGCCTTCTGCTAGACTTCAGGTTACAGATGCATGAGTAAGAAACTCATTCTTGCAGAGTCTCAGGTGAGTACCTGAAGCATGAGTGAACTTGATGTTGGGCTTTTTGAATAGTAGACTTTTCCTGGGAGGAGTAGAATGAATAAGTATGATCTGCTCAAGCTGTTAGTGCTACAAGAAAGCTGCTGGTTTGTAGCAACTTGCTTCTGTAGGTTGATTTTTTTTTTTCTTTATCTAACCTGTATTTGGATTGAGGCTCAATTAACAGAGTATTGCCATGATGTATTTGCATATTGGAGTTGAAGGGATGCAGTAGGGATGGACAGTAATTCAGGCTGCAAAACAGATTATTTGCAAACATCTTCTATGGTCTTTGAAGATGAGAAACTGGTAAGACTGTTCGGTGACACATTGTGTGTATATGTATAGGCTTGGAACAAAGGAAACTTAAATTGATCGTTCTCTCAAAGCTTTTAGTTGGAAGTGTTGGTTTTCCTTAATATACAGGGTCACCAAGTGCCGCTGGAGGACTGTAGTTGCACAAAAGGCATTGAGCAGGTTCTTGTCATGTGGTTCAGCTCCTGAACTTGAATAAACTCCAGTGACCTCATTGGAGTGCACTCAGATTACTTGTTGGACATCATTAACAGGCAAGAATCCAGGTGTTGTTCCACTTGATTGCAGGAGGATTGCAGCCAAACCTCTGAGGACAGGGCTGTGACTTTCCTTGCAGATGAGGACAGAGCCTTGACACATCAGTGTCAGATGTAGCGCTACTTAAAGGTTGCAGCAAGAGTCTTAACTTCAGTTGCAGCTTATGAAGTAAATCAGCGTGGCCCAACTGATGGACCTGAGTCCAGCTTCCAGGCGGCTTCCCTCTGGTCCTGCCCTGTCCCAAATGCAGGAACAGAAACTGAACCAGCAGAGGCGACCTGAACCACTCCATGATGCCCTGTGGTTGCTTAGAGCTGGACTGGGGGGATGAAGAGAAGGGGTGAATATTAAGGACCTGCAGGTTCCTGTCTGTGCATGGGATAGGTTCCTCACTAACAGCTTTTTAGTTCCTCTCTCTTTACTGTTGCAGGAAAGTGGATCTGTCAGTTACAGCTTTGAAAGGAGGGTGTATAGCTCTGACGCCTGGCTGAGCGATCTAGGTGATTCTGGGTAAGATGAGATAATTAGTTTTTTAACTGGGGAGTGGATTGGTGGAAGAGGAGGGCAGAGTAGTGGATTAGACAGTTCAACAGTACTTGGTTTGTTTGGAAAAGTCCTTTGTGGCTTAGAGGAGACTGTCATGTCATATATGCCAAGCTGCACCACAGAAGGCATCTTGGTGTCATGTTCTCATTATACAAGGCTTAAACCAAGGCTTCTTCATAGCTGGATTCTCATTCTACCTATGCTTCTTTGCTGTGTCTTGGGGTGGTTGTGGCTTCCTTGCTGGTTACAGTTTGGCTCTGCCACAGGTGGTTGCAAGACCTCAGGCAAGTCACTGCCTTGACTGCAGGGCAGGGGGGAGAAAATCCTGGGAGGTGTTTGGAGTCTTGTGCTTAAGATGTAGTATTCCAACAGCCCATCCCTTCCCCCAGCTGTGCTGTCTTGCTTCCTTCTGGGAGCTAATGGCTAACTGGTCATCCAGACAAGAGTTGGTCTAGCTGAGAACTAGCATCAGAACTAAGCCAGGAAAATGGTGTTGGCTGGGTCACCTCCCTTGTGGGACTACACAACCAGCTGAGTGCCTGGCCAGCACAAAGAGGGTTGTAGTATCTGGGACGGGTTGGACTGGCTCAAATTTAAGATGATTGTAAATGCATCCTGGGATTAGGATTATGTATTTTACTCAGACAAAAGGATTTCTCTTGTTAATGGCCAAAGCTATTTTTTTCTACACTCTTATATGCAATGAAGGAGCTTGAATGTGATTCTGCACTTGCTCTTTCAAAAGATGAGTGGAGAAAGACCTGAGTAAAACAGAGACCCGTGGGAACTGTGTGGTGTAACCTGTAGCAGTAAGGAAACAACAAACCGCAATGGCAAGGGGTTGTCAGGAGAACTCAAAGGTATAGGGGTGGCTGATCCTGTTCCAGCGTATCGCAGTGAAAACATCTTGATGCCATATTCCCCATAATAAGAGATGGGGAAACTTGTCTCATAGCTTTCTCCTGCCTGCGAGAGGCTGCAGAAATAACACAGCTGCTGCTTTTACATAGATGTGGTGGACCTGCCTTCATGTTGGGCTGCTGCAGTGCGAAGCGTGCCCTTGGGCCAAAGCCTGGGCTGGAGGGGCAGAGGGGCCATTGGCTCTCGGGGTTGTTTTCTTTGCGGTACAGAAGCTGACGGCCGCTCTCCTGTTCTCTTCCGTGGCACTCGAACCATGTCTGGCTATGGATAGACAATGGGCAGGCTGCTGCCCGCTGTAAATAGCCCATTGTACCCCGCGAGTAGGAGCAGCAGAGAACGGCGGAGCTCTGCCAACTTGGGCCGTTGCCTTGAGATACTGGCCCTGCTGTAAAGAACGAGCCTTGGGTGCTGTGGGGTGTGTGTCAGCAGAGAGAGCTGCCTTTGTCTGAGCCGCACAGAAATCCTTAACGGAGTTGGTGATGCCACTGCTTTCATGGGCTGGATTTTGGGGAACTGCTGTGGCCAGGACACAGGTAGTTATCTCTACAGCAGTTTTCTCTGTTATTAAAACAACTTTTCCATATCTGTCTGTTACTGTTTCTCAATTTGAGAAGGAACCAAGGTGTACTGGTTGCATTGAGGGGAAAAATGCATTTGACCTTCAACATTAGCCGTTCTGCTCTATTTTCTTTTTTTGCTACATGTAGCAGCCAGAGTATCACAGTCTGGTGCTTCTCTTATCTGGGATCTTCTTCCTTTAGGTCTCAGTCTTTGACTTCTAGTCATTTGCTATGTTCTGTTTCGCGCTGTGGCTGAGTTTGTGTCTGTTCCTTGTGGTCCAAGTGCTGTCTGGATGAGAAGCAATTGTAGGACCTGAGTCTGTGAAGAGAGCATGGATTTTTTTTTTTTGCTTGTTTTGGGTGAGCAAACTTAGCTGAGTCCTTCCTTGAGGACAGGACTGAAAGCCAGATCCTGATTCTGCTGGGAGGATCTCTGTATCTCAGTTTAAACTGCTCTCCTTGGTCTTGGTAAAGACCCTGGATGTCTGATGTGATTGGAGCATGCGCCAAGAAAGTACTGAGATGGATCAAAGAAAGCTGGGAGGCATTGGAGGCCCCTTTCTTGATGGGGCATATGTTAAGATGCATACATTAAGAATGTGAGTTTATTCTCCCTGTTGCATCTGGCTTTGTCTTAAATACAGAAAGCAGGAGTTGATAGGAATAATGTTTAAGCTAGGAATTGCTTAGTCTTGTGGAAAACTCTGTCCTAATCTTGGTTTTTGTGCTGATGAGGCAGAAGGTATAATAAAAAAATGTCATCCCTCAATATAAACCTAAGCAGTAAAATGTATCATTATGTCACTGGTGATAACTTGTGGGGTAACCACCCAAAGTTTTATGTTTCAAGCTTCTTTGCAAACAACTGGTCGAGGCAATGAAAAGTAGTGGTTGTACAGCTCTATTCCTCTTTACCTGGGCTGAAACCATAACAGCTCCTGGACTACAGTGGGGCTTGTGAATGAAATGATCATGTTTACTTCAGCTCTCGTTAGCTGTAATGGCACCACAGCCTTTTGAAAGAGTAACTCTCTAATTATGCCACGTTCCTAAGTCATACAGTGTGTGTGCAGGACTAACGCAGAGAGGAGAGCCAGTATCTGTTGTTCTAAAAGTCAAAGATGCTTATTGCAGGCCTTGAGGAGGAAAGAGCTAAGCTTGCTCTTAACCCTTACATACATTAGAGCCCCCTTCTTCTGGTTCATTACCATGGTGTCTATAATATACCCAAAATTAACTGGTAAGCCAAGATATCCTTGTTGGAATGACTTTTTATTCTGACTGTTCATCTGTGTGTATTAAAACTTAAGAGGTAGTTTTCATGCCTCCAATGCTAATGAGCACGTTTTTATGCCTAAAAGGCTACAGCATGGTAATCCTAATTATTCAGTCAGTAAGTGATATTTTAAGAAATTATTACTATTTAATTTTTTTATGCCAAAGGAAGATGGAGAGATCCCTTGTTAATATAGTTGGTTCTTCTCTACCTTCCATTACTGCATCTTGATGTGCTATGGATTTTGGGCATAGGCTGTGGTGTATCACAGTGCAAATAACCAAAAGGCATTTCTGTAGTGTCCCTGCACTGGGTGTCTGGGTGCTGGAGCCCTGAGGTTATGCTGTAAGAGCAAAGGCAAGTGTGGAGGACAAGCAGTGCCTGCAGGCTGGGAGCTCTCCCTGGGTCCAGGACCCTTACAGAGATGGAACTTGACTCCATCCTGACGCTCCCCCCATCTGTGACCTTACTTTTGCCTGTCCTTCTGCTAATGTTGTGAAATCATGGGCCCTTTGAACTATTTTCATGGGTTTTTTTTGCTGTTTCTAGCAAATAATTGTCCAAAGACTGGTTATTCTTTTTGTGAACTAGACAACTCCTTTGAATAACTGCTTGCAGCAGCAAAGATTTCAAGGGCAGGCTGTAAACTAGAGACTTTTCCTATAGAAATACGAAATCTTAGCCTGGTATGGTTGGCTTTAAAACTAATAAGCATATAATTCTGCCCGTTTGGATTTCAGCGTCTCCTCTGCAGCAGTGCATTGTTACACAGTGTGTTCTAGCTATTTAAGTGCACGTTCTGACATCGTTTAAGCCCTTTGTTTTAATTCTATTGTCCATAGGAAGCGGCCGGACCTAAATTATCTGTGTGAATACATCTCGGGCTCTTTGAGCGAGCAGGAAGGCGTGTGGTTTCCCGACAGTGGCCGTGGGTGGGTGGCAGGGGGCCGAAGGGGTGACAGGCAGGGGGGAGGGCTGGTGCCAGCCGGGCAGGCAGGAGCCCTTCAGCAGGCAGTGGGGTGACCGGGTGCCGGCTACCATTGGCCCCCGGGCAGGCCTGCTGCTTACCTCTCACCTACTGGGCAGGGGCTGGTGGGTTTGGCATGTGACAAATGTCCCCGGAGACCTTGGCTGTAGAGGAGAGCACCAGCTGAGCTGACTGTGATCCTTTTTATTTATTTATATTTTTTTTTTCCATGGCTGGTTCTTGCTGTGGAATATCCATGTCGGGGGGAGCAGCCTCTTTGGGCTCTTCCTTCTGCGCGAACGTGACAAATCAAATGTGCTTCCTGTGCTTGATTATATTGCTGTGTGCTGCTGCCCTGGGCCTCCTTAGATGCTGCTTTAGGCTGCCTCGTGACCAGAGATAAATTGCTGGCATGGTGTTGGGAGAAATAGGAAGCTTGCTAGCGTAGAGGAGCTACGGGAGGATATCAGCTGTGAAGGCAGCTTGCTGTAGTGAGCTTTCTGTGCACAGCTGAACAGAGAGTAGAAGAGAGAGTGAGTTTACTTAACAGGCTTAGGAGGTGAAAAATCCAGCTCCTGCTATAGGGTTAGGATGCTGTTAGGTTAATGCAGGCAAGCTAACATCTTATACCCCTGACTTCCCTGTTTGATACTTACTGTTTGAACCGTCTGACAGTACAGCTACTCTACAAGTAAATATTTAGCACTTGTGAAAAGCCATCCTTGAAAAAAAAAAGGCAAAACATTTGTTAAAATGCAAAGCCTGTTAAAAGCAATATTAAAACCCTGCAGAAATTGCCTCCTGTGAGCCCCACCTGTTTTTCTAGAGCATGAACCTGTAATTGCTTGCTTGCTTAATTGCAGCACAGAAGTCTAAAGGTATTGCCTTGCCTGCCTAGTGGCAGATCAAATTATTTTGATAGTGGGAAGCTAGGAGGACAAAGCATACATTGCTCTCCTACAACAACAGTGAATCAAAAGGGGATTTCAAATCTTTGTGTGTAACTTTCTTTCATATCAACAGATTCCAGCATCGGGACAACCCGCACTGAACTGCAATGCAAGCACATGAGTTGTTCAGATACCTACGGATGCCAGAACTTGGGGATGTCAGACAGTATGTGCGCACCCTTCCAACAAATACGCTGATGGGCTTCGGTGCTTTCGCAGCTCTCACGACCTACTGGTATGCGACGAGGCCGAAAGCACTAAAACCACCATGTGATTTAGCAATGCAGTCTGTGGAAGTGGAGGTAAGTGTCACTTGATGGTTGCTGTCTTCTGGGAGAGACCAAACACTGATTTACGTGACTGTTTCCAAACTTACAGTGAAGGGGGAAATGCATTTCAGGGCATGGTGGTTTTTTGGTTTTTTGTTTTTTTTTTTTCTGAAATATGGCTTGAACTCAGTGTTTTAGCTTTTTCAATGTGAAAACCAGTTTGAGGGTTGATGTCAGTGGTAATACCTAGCCTGGGAGAAAGTCTTTGTGCTGAGAAAACTGAGCTTCTGATCTGACTGGTGGGAGGAGACTTGTGAATGTTAGAATTGGTTCAGAGCAGTTTCCAATTCCTGGCCACGTGTTTAGGTGATGACCTATTAAATTAGGTCTTGGGGTCAGGGTGTGTGTGCTGGTGTATACTGATTAAGCTAATAATTTTCTGTTATTATAATTAGATTATAATAGCTGACAGATAAGACTTTATATTGGGTTACAAGCATGAAGAGGGTACTAACTGTCCTCAGATGATCTGTGGAAAGATATATTAGTCCTGCCAAGAGATCCCAGCCATAGAGTAAGTTGAAATTTAAGTAACCACCTGCTAAACTCTGGTTATGCTAGTTTAGCTCTTGTGCTTTTTAGAAGCAGACAGAGTTGCTGTTAGGTGTTTTTTTTAATAGTAAAGTCAAATATGGAAAGTCTGGGAGGAACTGTTGCTTAGAAGCAAATATAGACAACTGATTACATAGCTGGGGTTTCCTCAGCAGCAGTTATATCAATTCCCTTGTTCACTACAGAGTCAAGTTTTACCACTTCTTTCATTCTTTCAAGAGTGTGTCTGTGTGTGTTCAGGGTAGACAAGGCTTTTCTTCCTTTTGAAGGAAGGAGACTGCTTTTAAAAAGTTGTGATCTTCAAAGGAAATGTTTACAAAATGTAGGATTATAAGGCTGACAGTTTCTTGCAGTACTCTTTATAGTCAGAAACTACCATTACAGATATCTTTTTATATATACTTGCAATTGAAGTCTCCCTCTAGCACGTGATAGGCTGCATCTAGTTGTCCTGTATCAAATGCAATTAGCATGACTTCTTGTTGTGCTTAGGAGTAGATTTGGCTACCAACTGATGTAAACAAATGCGACAGAGCAGTTTGAAATTTACAGTAGGTAGACTTTCATGATGTTTTGCAAAGCAAACTCCTGTCATAGCCTCAAATCAAGCACTTTCTTTGCAATGTTTGATGATATTGAAATTGAAGAATGAAGCATTAGCTGGCGCCTCCATTCAAAAGTTTAGTTAGTACCATTTATTTCCTAATCATCTTCTATAGTAAACTTACTGACATGTGTTACTAGAGCAAGAAATGGTCTGCTGTTAGAAGTACACAAAGGGGAAATAAAAAAGTGCTCTGGCAATGTGATAATTGCCAAAAATGTCTCTTTTCAAGGAACATATGTAGAGTAAGGATCCAGAGATTAGATCTTACCTCTCTTGGTGAGCTTTGCCAACCCTGGCAGCAGGTGCTGGGTGGAACAGTCTTGTGGAAGAGCAAGGTTTGGTGGCTGGAATAAACTAGCAGGGAAAGTTTTCTGGCTGTGGAGGGCCTCACTTGTCAGTAGAGACTTCAGCAGATTTGGGGGGCTTTGTGTTGGAAGATGGTAAACCAGTGACTCTTAACTGGCCATAAAACCAGTGACAAATGCTTATTTGCTTGAGACTCTTGACAGCAGTCTTAGTTCACCGCTTTTACCTCTTTGGGCAAAATAGCTCATCACTGCTGGATGCTGTGATTGAAATCATTGTTTGGTGGTATGAGACTTCCCTAAACTATGTAATGCTTCACTGATCCATATTCTACTAATTACCTATCTTGCTCTGATGTGATATAACAGCATTATTTTTCAGTGTCTCTGCAGAAAGTACACTTTAATAGGAAGACTGAACAGTAGTGAAAGTTAAGTGAATAAACCAGCTGAGTGTGTTAGCATGTCTTGGTGATAAAAGTGCTTGAACTGAGAACATCTTGAAGTGACCAAGATCTATCCAGTTTTGTTTATTGACGCTTCAGATGACACAGCCCTTAATATTGTAAACTGTATTAAAGTGTAATCAAATGAGAATGTATGTTTTGAAGCTGGTTTCAAGTGTCTGTTAGAATTGGTACTTTTATAACAATAACAAGAGTGTAATACAGTGCTTGGGATTCAGTTCCTCACTACATGTAGAATTTCACTTCACTTACTCCATTCTTTTATACAACTGTTAAGATGGATTGTCGCTTCCATAGAAAAAAATTATCAAATACTACTCTTTCAAATTATGTCTTAACTTTTTTTTTGGCTAAGCAATACAATAGTAAAAGGTCTAGGGAGTAAGAAATGTGCTCCAAAACAGACACAGCAGAAGGCAATTCCTCTTTTCTACTGTTTTAAAACCTAATCTACCGGTTCATTAATGATAAAAATTTTGAACTATAAATAAGCTCCTGCTTAATTCTTACTTGTGTCTTATTTCCTTGGCCTCTAGCAAAGTTAAATGAAGTCAGTGACTGGAGTAGAGTTTCTACATGTTCTGATAATAAATTTTCATAACTTTGGATGAGAGGAGAAAGATCCAATTCACTGCTGTTCCAGGTCACTTCCCATCTCTGGAAAGCTTTGATTTGGTAGGCCGGCACCCAGTGACCCATTTTAACTGCCACTGAGTGAGCATAGAGATTGCATGCTTAGCTGGATATAGGTACAAAGAGTTACTCTAAGTATCAGCTCTTCTAGAGTAGATGCCGTAATTAAAAGATGTGGAGTATCATCTTTAAAGTATGCATTACTACAGTTACATTTCGCTGAAAGAAACCCTCTTGTCTTCAAAGCTCCCAACCTGATCTCTCTTCAGGGGAACTCCTCAGACTTCTAGGTGAAAATTCTTTCAGGATCCACTTGAATCCCCCTTGTCTGTAGGAGGTGAGACAAGGCTAATGAAGAGTAATTCTAAATAAAGTCTGACTAGTGTGAGACTGTGCTGCTGAGGCTCATGCTATACTCAGTCATGTGCCATATTGTTAAGAATTTCAGAATTACAGTAATAGAAGTAAGGCCCTAGTCCTGTGTTTGGCAAAGCTTGTGCACCCTCAATAATGTCTGTAATTGTAAGCACATCTGGATCTGTCAGCTTGTAGGTTCTTCTTTCCGTTGGTGATGGATAGCTGCATAACTTGGCTATTGATTTGAGTGCAGGTGTATGGCTGTCAAATATGTTAAATCTTGCTTTAAAAACCAAAATATTTCTATTTGGCTCAAGTTCTGCTAAAACATGTAGGAGGAGAGAACATAAATAGTAGGATGTCAGTATTTTCTAGTATAAGAATTCAGATCTTTTAAACCTCCTTGCATTTTCCTGATACGTTAACAGAACTGTAGCTTGCCTTGTCTTTCAAGAATCACTTGATTAAACACATGCTTGTCTCCCTGTTAAGTGATCAATTCTGGCTGTTTGCTTACCTAGGCATTAGCACGCTTAAAATTATATGGCTGCTTTGAAAACTCTAACAGTTTATACTTCTTGCTTGCTCAGAATATGCATGCTGGTGACCTAAGCACCACTTGCTGCTGTGCTTTCCCTCTCGGGGAAAATGAGAATTGGGTCTCCTGCCTCTGAGGCATGGTGGAGCCAAGAGTCTGGTTTGATATTACTGCTAATCCTAAACAGCCTGTGTCAACAAGAAGCAAACCCAGGGCTTGAACAAAGGCAGCTATCTTGTTATGTGACCCAAAAAGGCATTGACAGAGTAATACATGCCTCTGTTGTAGAATAAATCTGTTTTCCCTCAGCTGCTGCTGTTCTGAACCAGTGCCAAGGCTTTTCTTAATGTCCAGCTCTTGCTGTGTAATGGGTCAATTCCCTGCGACTCCCTGAGCTGCTGCAAGGGCTGCTTTGCTTGAGTAACCAGAGGCTGTTCTCACATTAATAAGATTTTATTGCCTGGCTCCTTAAGAACACTTTGGTAAAACTGACAACCCTTTTGAGTGCTTACCTCTGTACTGGGCAGATCTGCTAGATCCCATTTGAATAACTTCTGTGAAACCAGCCAAACTTTCCACTCCTCAGATTCAAATGTTTGGTGCTTGTAATGACCAATGATTTTTTTTTTTTAAAAAAGCTTTCTGTGAACAGAACTTTTCCTAATATTGCACAAACATTCTAGATAAGAACCCTGTTATAATGATCAATGATTTTTTAAAACCTTTCTGTGAACAGAACTGTCCCTGATATTGCACAAACATTCTAGATAAGAACCCTTTGGACAGGCTCTTAGAATAGTCGTTCTTGCTACTCTCAAGCAAAATGTAGGCCAATACCAAATATTGCCTAGTAGATGAGTTCTAACTGGGAGTGTAAGTAAGGTCTAAACGATCTTCAGCGCATCCACGTGTATTTCACTGCTTCCCTGAAGAATAACACTGAATTGATGGCCTTCACACAAGGAGCTGGGTGCTTTTCAGTGAAACACTTTCTCTAGGGCTGTTGAAAATTCAGTTACCTTATTCTTTTTCCCCAGAGTGGAATTAAGCATAACCGTAGGCTGGTTATATTTCCCTCTACTGAAAGCTCATGAGAACTGCTGGGGTCTTTTCAACAGTAGTGTTACAGAGTTTCTGCTTCTTCAGAAGGTCAGTGCAGTCAGTGTTCTATCCAAGCACTGTGCAGTCTGTCTGATAAGTCTCATGCTCAAATTTGGTAAGTGCCCCAGACCCTGCAAAAACTGCTTTTGTGGTGCTAATAGGGCATGTAAACAAAACAGTAGTAGCTCAGATGAGGAGAAAACAAATATTTCTTGATACATTGCACTTACGGACATTACCTATGTTTGTGGCTACAAACTACTTCATGTGATCTCCCTCAGGTTAGCTCCAGAGGTGGTAAAATTGGGAAATATCTAGAAGTTGACCGTAGTTATCCAATATCTGTTAAATCAGTGCAATAAAGCAAGTAGTCTTGCTTTTATTTCCAGGCAAAGGCATGTACTAGCAAGCTCTTAATTTCCCATGGAGTAGATTTTGGTTTGAGTGCAAGTAAGCTCTTGAATTTCTAATGTTACAGATTTTTAGAGGTAAGCCAGTCATTAACTTGTTCTGGGTTGTGTTCACAGTGTACATTTCTGCTTGCTGCCAAAGGAGTGGCAAGCACTGCCTTATGCATAATGTTTTGCTAAACAAGTTACACTTATTTTAGTGTTAAAATACTGGGGGTTTTTTGCCCTCTCTTATGTACCTTTAATGCGTTAACTCCTTTCTGTGGACACGGGCAATATGACATCTTCTGCAGATAAACCTGCATTTATCTAACTTAAACAGGTGTTAAAATACTGGGGTTTTTTTTCCCCTCTCTTATGTACCTTTAATGTGTTAACTCCTTTCTGTGGACATGGGCAATATGACATCTTTTACAGATAAACCTGCATTTATCTAACTTAAACATGAACAGATGCTCTCTGGTCTTCCAGGGTACTTTGAAAATGGGAAAATAAACCAATGGCGAGGAAGAGCCTGTGATTGTGTATGAAGAGGTTTTTGACACTGTGGATGATGGCACGATTCAGGCACAGATTTAGTTAAGATTTGAGTTTGTGAAAGGGCGAGGAGTTGACTTCAAACACTGATAGAGTCTTGTGCAATGTTTACCCAAGACCCTCTGGTTAACCAGGTGGACTGTTCCTGCTAAGATCTTGCTTGTAGGTGTCTGTTGTAGCAGGACTAATAAATGTGGCCCATTAGTACTTGTATTAACTGCAATGTCTGAAACTTGATTGATATAAAATGAGATTATTTAATGCCACTCTAAAAAAAGGCTATATTAAAACTATAAAACTCTTGTATTTACTTCCAATTGTACTCTATATAAATGTTCACCTGCTAAAATCACCTCCTCTGATTTTAATCCTCAGGGTAGTGTTGTCCTGCCTGCCTCTAGCTCAAGAGGAAACCCTTTTTTGTAAGATAGAACTTTAAATTGGTTTAAAGGACTAAATTTCTATCTGGTGTGAAGTATTTTACTTAGAAGAACACTTGTTCTAGGATGGTTTGACCACTCTTAAAATCATCTAGGTTTTGAAACCACAGTTTGAAGCATGATTGTTTTGTAATCTTAATTAGAAAAGTAGATTAGTATCAGCATTAATATTGTATCCAGAGAGTTCTGAGGCATTTAGGAAGCTTGATGGAATTAATTATGCTATATACTGCAATAACAGAGTAAAATATTTATTAAGAAAAACCCTGTGTCTAGTAAGGAATGTCAAAAGGCATTTTGTGCTGCTTGCTTGTTCTGTGTTATTGTAGGTAGTTGAGGAATAAGATTTTTGCCTGTCAGGGTTTTAGTAATGCAGGAAACAGTCTGACTCTTTAAACAATGTCCTGGGAAGCCCTGCAGATCTTGCCCCTGGTGGTGAACAGCACTGAAGTTCTCTCAAGCAGAATGTGCTGAGGCTCATAAAAAAGCTTAATGGATGAGTTGTTTTTTATTCCTTCAGGAAATTCCTCTTCATTCATAACCAACAAGTGTGTCTAACCTTTCTAATTGGTTTTCTTAGGGTGGTGAGCATGCTCGAAGGTCCTCTCTTCTTAACAGCAATGAACCATTGGTTTTCTACTACGATGATGTGAGAACAGTCTATGATGTCTTCCAAAGGGGTCTGCAAGTATCAAGTAAGTTTAAAATTAAAGATAACTCTCAACAAGAACTAAAGGTCTGGGCTCTTTTGAAATGTAGTTGGGGACAGGGAGTATCTACCTAGCAATATGATAAATGGATCAGATGTGAGCTTTCTTGAAGGCAAATTTAACTGTGACCTCTTGGGGAGCAGAGTTGTGTGAATAAGGTCAGTGCTGTGTTCCTTAGCCTAAACCAATCATGTTGCCTCTGTCCTTCCTCAGCTTCCCCCCTCCTAAAAAAACAAAGTTTGTCTTCTGAAGGTGTCTGCAAATAATCTAGAGGGTTAACACCGAGAGTGTAGTTAGTGTGGTGTTGGGGCAGAGGAGCCAGTTAAATCTTGCGTAACTTTTGATTATGGTTTCTTTTTTAGATAATGGTCCATGTCTAGGTTTTAGAAAACCAAACCAGCCATATGAGTGGATCTCCTATAAAGAGGTAAGTAGTCTCTCAGACTTAATGCTAGACCTGCTTTTGCTTGCTGAGAGCGTCAATACAACATGCAGTAATGTGATATAGAGTAGTCTCTCAGACTTAATAATGCTAGACCTGCTTTTGCTTGCTGAGAGCATCAATACAACATGCAGTAATGTGATATAACAAATCTCAATTATTTATAGATGTTTTAAAGTAGTAGCAAAATATTGCAGAAAGGTTCTAGTTCCTGTTAGAGTATCTTAAAAGAACAGCTTGAAATATGTGCAAGGGGAAGAAAAGAGTATCTCCTGCACTTGGTTTATTAATGGTTTTATCTATGAACTTTTTGGGGTTCTCAGCAGCTTCTAGCATCTCATTGCTGAATTGTTTAGAACTTGGATGCTGTCTCTGAAGGGCTGCAGCTTTGAAGTAGTATTTGGGGACTGGGACTGCTGCTACATTAGGTGCTTGCTTGTGAGAGGCTCATTTTACATTGGGGAAAAGTCCTATCTACAGATGTTACTTCTGTTTCTTGACAACTTGTCTCCATAGTGCTGCCTGGTGGTTGTATAGGGTGTTAAGATATGCTTCTAACTAGTAGCATGCTCCTTCATGATTCCTAAAAATACCCTTATGCAAATCTTAAACAGCTGAGCACTTTTAGGTCGTTCCTGATTTAATCAGTTGTTGTCTTCAAATTTGCATAAAGCTTGCCTGTTGCATACTGTTAAGATCATTAAACACCTTTTGTATGTAGCAAACATCACTTTCCAAGGTCATTTTGCTGGGCATTTGTTAGGTGTGACCTCTCGTTAATAAAGCTTTCCTGTTTGAGTCATGTGACTAACATGGATTCAGGTCATGTGCTATATGGAAAGAATTCAGAAAATTGCCTTCCCAAGCTTTGTTTGCAGAACTAGATGGGCTTTTCCTCCTTAGGCACTGAATGAAGCAGAAGGGTTGCACATGTAGGGCTTGTGATTGAGCCGAAAACACAACGCTGAATCACTCCAGGGTCACTTCTGGGGTTTGATGCAGATAGAACAAACCAGCCTTTTCTGTGTATGTGAGCTTAACATTTAAACTTAATCAAGTTGGCCTTCAAAGTGTTAAGTGTCTTGTTTGCTGTATGTTGTCTATATGCAAGTGTAGTATCTACAATCAGTGTGGTACAATGGCACTGCAGTGTTTAGGTTATCAAAGTCACAGAGGACGTCCAAAATAGCCTAGAAAACTTCTGTCTGCTTCATACTGCTTATTTGCCTTCTTTTTCTAAGACTTAAGGTAAAATAATGTTGAGTGGTGTATACTGATGAGCTTGCTCTCAAGTTTTTTTTTGGTCTTCTCTCTTTTTTTTGCCCCTTCAGGTTTCAGACAGAGCTGAGTGCGTGGGCTCTGCGTTACTCCACCGAGGCTTCAAACCGTCGCAAATTCAATATATAGGAATCTTCGCACAAAACAGACCTGAGGTAATTTAATTGACAGGGTGTGCATTGGTGGTCGAGCTGTTACTGAAATGGCCTCCTTGTAATATCTGTTGCTTTTTGGCAGTCTCCTGAGCTTCCCAACTAAGAGCTGATTTGGCATTAAGGGGAGGGGAAGGCTAAAGGCTGACATTGTAAACCCCCAAGCCATAGACATGGCATCTTTAGCTAAGAAATGCAACTGATAATTGATTTGACTGTTAGTGTCTTATTTTGTTTAGTTTTCTTTAACTCATAGAGCTGAATGCAGAAGAAGTCAACTCATTCTCTTCTGGTCTTTCCAGATCATAGAGGAGGACTGTTTAATGGGAAGCTAATGCAGTACTTAGTGGATGTAATAACCATTTGCTTTCTCTTAAAAAATGGTGTTGGAGTACGAGGTAATTGACAGTGGTTTGAAATCATAAGGAGGTATTTAAACCCTGCAAAACCCAACAAAGCACTTAATGATTAAATATTTGGACAAATAGAAGATGGCTCAAGGTGATAGCTCTGTCTGTGCCAGAGGCCCTGGGCACAAAGATTCTGGGAAGGAGAACTGCTGATGAAGGCAAAAATTGAAAACGAATTGCAGTTTAATAAAGGGGCAGAAAGACTAAAAGTGAAATAATCAAAGAAGATCACATCACAGAGTAAAATGATGTTACAAACCTGAGGCAACCATAGGCATAGTTAGATTTATTAGCTGGTGTCTCCATTTTAACCCCGAAGTGGTTCTAGATTGCTGTTTTAAAAAATATTATGAAATAGTAAATATTTATTCTCTAGATTTGTTTATTAAATCTATTTAATAGGACTGAATTTCTCTAACCTATGTTTATGTGCTTAGTAGCTTGAGCTGGTTGAATCCAAGCCTGTATTAAGACATGGGGATGGGTTCTTAAGGTTTGTCAAGAATATACTGTCCCTCTTGATTAAACGCTCCCAGCAGGATGCCATTATCTGGAGCCATCCACAGTGTTGACAGAGCTAGAAGCTGTATCAGTGTCTCAGTCGTGCTGGATAACAGCTTACTGGTGGATCTCTTCTGATTTCAGTTTGTCACTGAGCCCTCCCTGATGTCATTAAAATGCAAGCTGTGTGACGAGTGACCTTGAACCCCTTCCTCCCCTCCCAACCCTACACCACAAAAAGAACTCTAACTCTAGCCTTGTACACATGAAGAAAAGCGTTTTTTCCAGACTCTGAAATCTACAGTAGTTTGCTGATTGGATTTTCCTGTTGGAATTCTGGTTCTAATCAGCTACAGTTTTATTTATGTAATAAAAACAGGCTGGGATGTCTCCAACTAGGAAAGCTGTTAAATGACATCATGTTACAGACTCTTCAGTTCAGTCTCCTGTGATCATAACATGGTTAACTGGAAGTAAAAGGATGAGGGGGAATGGTTTTAAACTGAAAGAGGAGATATTTAGGTTAGATATTGGGGAAGAAACTCTTTGCTGTGAGAGCCTGGCCCGGGTTGCCCAGGGAAGCTGTGGCTGCCCCATCCCTGGAGGGGTTCAAGGCCAGGCTGGATGGGGCTTGGAGCAACCTGGGCTGGTGGGAGGTGTCCCTGCCCAGGGCAGGGGGCTGGAACTCAATGATCTTTAAGGTCCCTTCCAACCCAAACCATTCTATAATTCTAAAAAAGGGAGCCAGATGTTAGTATTGTGGCAGTTTGAACTGTCTATAGACCTTTGGGTACAAAGTCTTTGACTGGGTTGATGGATATTCTGAAGGAGAGCAGGGTAGTGTGGTCTGCTTTGGTTCATAGAGACAAAATGCACTTGAGCTCCATTGCTCCTGCAGGCTTTTGAATTGGGCTTGGAATAAGCAGGAAAGGGTTGTTTAAATCAGCAGTTTTAAATCTGGGGTTTTCCCTGCTGAAAACCGCTGGATGGGTGTTGTGACATCCCCCATATAATCACTAATCCAGACAGAAGATTATTTGAAGGTTTTTTTGGTGTGAAATGATTCACATTTGTCAGTTCAGGGAACAACTGCTGGGGAAATCCCCTGATGGGGAAAATCCTAGCATATTGCTTAACTGCTTAGTAAAAATATAAACTGGGATTTGTAAAGCAAAAAAATCTTACTTTCTCTTTGAGTAGCTGGAAAACAGATGATCTTTTTTGCAAGCAAGGAAGTTATTTTGGATTGAGAAAACAGGACAGTGAAATATACAATGTCCCTTAATGTTGTTTTTTTCTGATCTTCTCAAACTTCCCCACTGTCTGTATTCAGCACTAGTTGCTTGCTTGGGCTTTGAGAGAGAACTCAAGTGTCAAGGTTGTCAAGGTTTGATTCTTATATGTAAATGCTCTTAACTTTAGAAGGTAAAATGGTAGAAAAATGTCTTGGTAGTTCAGAAAATAGAGTTTATGCTGGTTGGGATAGGTGTGCCTGCTTAGACTTACCAGTATGTCTAATGTCTGCATGAAAGTCTAGTACTAGTTTTATAAGTCTCTTTGGACAAGAGATGTACAATTTGCCTATTTTAAATGGTTTCAGAAAAAGTCTCTGTGTTTAAGGCTGTCTCAATCAGTAGAGAGCTGCCCATAATAAACAGTTCATAAAAACTGAGATTTAGCAACTCTGTTAACATTGCCCCTGTGTGAGATATTATGTGGAATAACCAGCTGAATGGTGTTTGAACTTGTCATCATACGGGGGTGAGGTAACTGGCTACTGTCCTGCAAAAACACTGGGAAGTGTGACAGCGTTTGGGGGGCGGGGAAGGGAAAGGAGCACCCTTGTTAATGCAATCCTTGTCAAATTGTAAGATCTGATAACTTTTAAAGATGCATGTTGTTTTGTTCCTGTAACTGACTAAATAAAGGTAGGGTGTCTGAGAATTTTTGTCATTCTTTTTTGATGGAAAAAAAATGAAATGTTCCAGTTCCACTGGCCTCTTCATGTGTCCTGAGGCTACCACTTCAGGAGTCACATGCTACCCTGTATTTTGGTGTAGCTTGTTGTTTACAAACTATACCTAATAGCTACTCTCTGGAAAAAGAATTGCCTGACTGTTTTACCTTGATGGTACTTTTACAGCAAGCCTGATTTCATCCAAAGCCCTGTCAGCTGGCATCACACGCAGGAAGGCAGCATGTTTGTTGAGTACTGCACTTGTTAGCAGGCAAATCCTTCTTAATGCAGCTTGTAGAGATGTAAATGATTTTTTTTGTAGAAGTCTTCATATTGGATTCTTTTAAAGAATGATGGTTAGTCTTGAAAAGCGCTGAAAAACTTTCTGGGGCTTTCCAAAGGATTTCTAGTTTAACTGTTTATGTTCCATATCTGGCCATCAAATGAGATATAGATAATGCAGAAGTAAGAATACTCTGTGTATATAAACTTAATGTGTGTCGAGACACAAGCGAGTCCTTTACTGATTCATATACCATGGTAATATAGAACACTGAAGGCTTTGGCTACCTCAATAACCTAAAACCAAGAAAAAAAAATTTGTACTCAAGTCCCTTTCTGTTAATAGGTAAACTAAAGAGACAGTTAATGTTAACTGGTTTTGCAAAAGTACATAAAATTACTCTTAGGGGCAGAGTTGAATTTAATTGGATTGGCATCTTTCCCATAGCTCCTTATTGTTTTTTTCCTTTCCTCTTTCCACAGGTAAAAATGTAGTAGGTCTTCAAAGTAAACAAATGATACGAAATGCCACTTTTTTTTTTAGCAAGACTTGTACAAAGCAAGACTCTGTCCTACTTGGATTCTGTGTTGGAATCCAAATATGAGTCTTTCTTGGAGGTCTGTTATGATAAGCAAACATGTAGTGACTCGCATCTCTTCTTTTTGTGCAGTGGGTGATCATTGAGCAGGGATGCTACGCCTTCTCCATGGTGGTGGTGCCACTCTATGACACACTGGGAACTGAGGCAATTACCTACATTGTGAACAAAGGTAGGACACTTCCAGTAGCTCAGTGACTGAATGTGTGATGGAAGAGCTGACTGAGGGCTTCTTCAGCCTTCTTCAGAAGAGTCTTCCATTACCACGTTCTGAAGTATGTATGGATCTAGTCTACACTCAACTTGTCATACTGATAACATTGTTCTCTTTCATCAGCTGACTTGTCGTTGGTTTTCTGTGACAAAGCTGACAAGGCCAAACTTCTGCTAACCAGTGTGGAAAAGGGGGAAACTCCAATACTCAACACCATTGTTATCATGGATTCTTTTGGCATGGATCTTGTGGAACGTGGCAAAAAGTGTGGGGTGGAAGTCTTCAGCATGAGAGAACTCGAGGTAAGTATGCTTAACCTACTGTACTGCTTTCCTCCCATTTACTTTGGGAGGAAGAGGACAGTGTCTGACGAACAGATGGTTAGGACTGAGCAAAATGTGGTAGATTAGTTTGAAAATACTTAACTATCTCTTGGATTGAAGTTTACACAAAAAATACTTAAAAAAAAAAAAACAACTAACAAAACAAAAAACCCTGAACCAGAAGGGAGACAACTTGCTACTAGTATTTTAAAAAACCTAACAAAACAAAAAACCCTGAGCCAGAAGGGAGACAACTTGCTACTAGTATTTCATAATGCTCAGAATGTAAAAGTTGTGTATACCAAGATGATGGATGAAAGCTGGCTAACATAGTCCAGAATGAACATCAGATCGGAGTGTTAAGGCTTGCCCATATGAAGCAGTAATGTGATAATTATATACTGTGACTAATGTTTCAGAAATACTTGTGTCAAAAAGAGCCAGTGTAGGTTTTGGTCTTGTGAAAAATGGCATCTTCCCCTTAACACTGAATCTACAAAACATTTTCTGGAGGAGGAGGAAAATGGCAGTAAACTGTTCCAGGGCAAGCCTATGGTAATGTAGGAGAACAAGACTTCCAGGTTTTGGAAGTAGAAGCCATTTTTCTTCACCACTTAATGTTCAAGTCTGGTTTTGCTTGTAGTTATTTTGTCTGCATACATCTCTTATGCAAGGCTATTTCATAACTTCACTGTTTGGAGAACTCTGTCCCAGGATCGAATTGGACAAAGTGCATCTTTACTGTGAGATTATGAAACCGGGTTGAGCCTGGCTCCAGCTGGAGTTGGTGAAGGCTTGGCTCACCAGGACTTGACTGCATATCTCCAAATAAAAGTGTGTTTGTCTTGTGCAAGTGTCAGTAACCAGTGTGAAATACTTCATTTCACTAAACTTGTTTTCACAGCAGGCTTAGCTCCTATGTTAACAGGGCCACCTTCTGGTAAAGACACAAAAATGCCAGTGTGTTGGTTAAAAGATAATTAACTGAATGGTTGCTAACCAGCCTCAGTGAGGCTGCCAGGCTGAAGTGGGGCTAGAAACATCATACAGAGTTGACTTACACAGTGCTGTAGCTCGCTGGCAAAAGGGTTGGGTTTAACCAGCCTCAGCGAGGCTGCCGGGTTGAAGTGGGGCTGGAAACATCATACAGAGTAACTTACACTGTGCTGTAGCTCGCTGGCAAAAGGGTTGGGTTAAACTTGGGAAAAGATGGGCCCAAGTGCAAGTTGGTATGCTAAAATTGGCTTCTTTCCTTGAATGAACTCTTTTTCTGGCAGAGGAAGATGCTTTCCACTGCATCTTCTAGTTACAGGAAAACAAAACCAGGGGGTGAATGCTTAAGCAGTGACTTCCAGTAGTACTTTGTTCTTTCTTAATGACAGCATGTGATGTTTGGATTACTGTGGTTACTTAGAGCTGTGAATAAATGGCTCTTTGGTAGGAAGAGATGTTGGAGTTCTGATCTAGGATATCAACAAGATATATACGTAGATAATTGTGTATTCACTAAATACCAGATCTTACTCAAAACTGGGCTGTAGGAGCATTGAGTTTCTGGTGGTATGAAGGTGCTTTTTGTTTTGAGCTGTGTTTTCATAGTGGCAAATTTTTGCATAATGACAGCGTTTCAAAAGGGCAAACTTACAGGTATAGGGATGTTAACAGTGTTTCCAGACAGTCCTTTGTTTTTCTTAAACCTCTTTGGGTAATCTAAAAGGTACATCATACTAAAGGCAGTGTAGGGCTAGGGAAAGGAATGTGTAGTTCTGTTGTTGTGCACTTGGAATGTAAAGGCAATGGTGGGGTTGATGTGCCTGCCCTCAATGGGTGCTTCCAAAGCTATACTTAACAAAAGGTCCATTTTGATTTGCCTAAGTCCTTAAGATATTATTATTCCTAGTCTTAAATAGGCATGACAATGTGATGTTTTGAAACTTTTCCTCTTGATCCTATGCATAAGTCCTTAAGATATTATTATTAATAGTCTTAAATAGGCATGACAATAAGTGATGTTTTGAAACTTTTCCTCTTGATCCTTATATCCTTGATGATACAAGGATCTTCTTGCTATCCATTCCCTTCTGCCTAAAGAAATACAACATAACTAATTGTCAGGCTTGAATGATCCAAAGGATGGAGAGGGGAGAAGAGGTTCTGGAGGAGACAATCTTGTGATCTCCACTCTTCAGTATGAGGAGTACAGACCACCCCAGGACCCTTCATGGGGAAACTCGGTCTTCCTTCTCACAAGCAGTGATGTTGGTGTGAGGTGCTTGCTGAGATGAATCCTGTGCCATCTACTCAATGGTTGTCAGTGGCACATGTCTCTTCTGCATGAGTGCAGGCTTGATTCCCTGCTGTGGATTGTCAGAACTGCATAACCTTGAGCCTCTCTAGTGAGAGACTTCTGGTTTCCTAGCTGGAAAAAACCTGTGAGTTTAGATTAGTTATCACTTCTGTATTTGTAGAACATGGTAGTTATTCTATATATCTTTAAAATGTCCTTTAAAGCCTTTGTTACTCTTCTTGGAAGTTAATATGCCTTAACAGTCAGTCTAAATAATGGAATGTTAGGGTGTTTGGTAACATTTGTCTGGTAAATCTAGAGCAAAAAAGTTAGATGCTAAGGTGTAAACTGTGTCTCTCCTCTTTCTGTCCTTTCTGCAGGATCTGGGAAGAGCACACAGGCAAAAACCTATGGTAAGTATGAAATTAAAGTGACAATCTGAAACTGGATAGTATTCTGTAGATCAAACTAGCAAATCTCCATACCTCCCATAGCTCAAAAGTAACACTAGTATTTCAATGTTTTGTCCAGAAATTTTTTTTTTTCTTGCTATCTTAACCATACTAATACTTTCTTAACTCTCATAGCCTCCAAAGCCAGAAGATCTAGCAGTCATCTGTTTCACCAGTGGAACGACAGGTACACCTCATTACATTATGCAGAATTTATTATCCCGTATGTGCAAAATTAATTCAGAAGCCCTCCTACTTTTTTTTTTTTCAAGACTCTCCCCTGCTGCTGCATCTTTTTGGCAAGTAGTAGCTGGGGAAGTTTTATGGTAAGGCTCCCTTTGATTTTTCCCATTGATCAATACAGCGTTGCAGTGTTGGGGGTGTGTGGAGGTGTTATGGTTTTGGGCTTGGAAATAAGTACTGAACCTATATTTCCATTATAATAAGGGCTCTGCATCAGGCTTTCAGTTCTTCCGTAGTCTTTTTGTACTGTATTAGTGAAATTTGCTCGTTAGCTCTAAGCAGCCTTCCTGTAAGATTAAAACAGGAGGACTGTCTAGATGTCACTCAGTTGATACTTCTAAGTTAATATCCAACTCTGGCAGGGAGAAGAAGGGAAAAGTACAACGACAAACTATGCATTTAAAGCAGATGTGAGAACAGAAATTAGTCTGGGTTTGATAACTGCATCTTCACGGAAGTGTTGAATATTGAATGAGAGGAGCTTGTCCAAGAAACATGACAATTTCTTAAGGATTTGTCCTCCTTATGAAATTTGAGGACTTGAACACAAACTTACTAAACTGTTACCAGCTGTACTTGACAGTGTGTTAACAAGTTCTCTGCCTTTAATTGATCTACAAAGTAAGATATTAATATTGAAGGAGGACTGATTGACTGAAATGCTGTTAGATTAGTTTTGCCACTGCTTGGTTATTCAAAGGATCTAAACAAATCTAACTGTTGCATGCTGATGTGCTTCTTCCTTAGGAAACCCCAAAGGAGCAATGATCACTCACCAAAACATAGTCAGCAATGCTTCAGCTTTTGTGAAAACTACAGAGGTAAATGGCAAAGGTTAACCTTGTGGATTTGCATGAAGGGGAAGGAAAACCAACACTGAAATCTCATTAACTTTGGTCTTAACTTTTAGTAAGATCCAAGTGAAAATGTAACTTGACAGCGCTCTGCCCGTGCTCGGTCAAAAGTCAATACTTATTGAATTGTTCTGTCAGGGTCAAGACCCTGACAGATTAACAATTTGGTCTGATCCAAGCAAAATCTTATAAAGATCCTGATGTGGGTATATATTATGTTCTGCCAGAGGCTTATTGGATTTGTCATCAGTGCAAGCTCTATATCAGAGGGTTGGTGTAGAGGCTAACCTTTTGCACTAAGGATGGGAGAAGCTATAATGTATTTTGATCCCCCAAAATACTTAAAGCACACGCATAAATGAGCAAGAAGCATGACCCTGTATTTTTACTTGATACAGTGTTAACTTTTAGTTTACAGTAGATGACTAAAGTTAATCTACAGACTAGCTAAGAAGATAGTTCTAAATTTTAACATATACAGATGTAATTAAAAATGCAATTGCAATTTTGTCAAGTATTCTGCATGTAGAATTGTTTTTAAATTATGCAGCTGGTCTCATAATTAGATCATGTAAGGTACTCTTGATATCAAGCTTATGGCAAATTGGATAAACTTTCTAATTTAAGATGAAAGTGTGTATTTTTTTTAAACCCTTAAGGCACAGTACTTTAACTCTTTCATTGCCTCTCCCTCCTGGTGTATATAATGGAACTTCTTGTGATTTCTCTCAGAATTTTTTCTATTCATCATCATTTGAGTGATAAGTTGTAATAAATTGGTCACTCTACTCAAATCTAAAAGATGACTATTTCTGCAGTGTGTGTTTATGCTAGAAGTCATGGCTGTAATATTTTTAATGAAAGCTGATGCAGCTTCATTACAAACAAAACTGAAGCAAAGGCCTTGCTTTAGAGTTTAGATTTCAGATTTCATTGTTGTGTTTAACTTAGAGCATCAATGAGAATAAAATTTAATTTTACGGACACTTCCACTTTCAGAAAACGTTTATGCCTTCCCCTGATGACGTTCTGATATCATTCCTGCCCTTGGCTCATATGTTTGAGAGAGTCGTTGAGGTAAGCACCCATTTGTTGTATCAACTATGGAGAAGCTCGTTCTTCTTACAGGGTGTGTGTCTCCTGAGTCCCAGTGATACACACTGTTCCTCTCTGAGTTACACATGTGTATGAAAGCTGGAGGTAGGGTTCAGGAAAACAATATCCCATAAACATCTAGTGAGTTCTAAACAATTGGCTTTCATGCTGAAATATAAGTTTTAACCCTACAGCTATATTTGCTAAGCAATTGGTTTACTGTAACATGGGACAATCCCTTAGCACAGATAAACTCCCTAGAAATTCCCTCTACAATAATCAGTGCATAACTAAAAATCCATTCCACTTTTCAGTCCTCAAACTTTAAAAAATTATTTTACTATGTGGCATCCTGTTTGCTTACACAACTAATTTTAAGTTGGTTAAACATACCATTACTTCTAAGAAACTTCAATAAAAGGGAGAGGTTTTGTTTCAGTGGAGTACTTGTGCAGGAAATGAAAGTGGCTGTTAATGCTATTTAATGACAAACTCTGAAGTTCTCTTGGCTAGCTTGTTTTACCATATAGTGAAACCTGGGGCTTCATTTTTGAAGATGAGGAGGCTCAGGTTGTCTTAATACTGGCAGTCTGAATAAGGACCTCTGAGCCCATAGTTAAGAGGTATGAATTATTGAAAGGATGCAATTTCCTCAAGCTGCTTATATAGAGGCACAGGTATTTAATTACCATAGTTATTGGAGCTGAATTAACACCTCTCCCTTATATGTATATGGAAGGTAGTCATGGCCCAGTTTATATAGGGAAATAAACAGCCTCTGTGCAAGTGTGAAAAGGCACATGGAGCCAGAAATCATCCTGTGATTTCAGTTGAGAAACCTGAGCTTTCTACCAAAAAAGCGTTTCTATATACACATAGATAGTAATGTATATATGCATACATGTCTGTGTATGGATGTTATGAAGATAGGGAATAAAGCTTAACTGAGCTGTACAGGTGCCTGCAGGCTTTCAGAACTCTTTTTCTCCTGGTAACCTGGGTACCAGTTATACTTCAGTGTGTCTTTTACTGATGTCTGTCTTGCATCTCAAGGTACAAGCTCTGTAGGTAAAAGTTCTGTTTTTTACCATGCAGTGGAAACAGGATGGGAACTTGTGTTCTAGAGGATAAAATCAGAAGAAAGTGTTTGGCTCTCAGTATTCCTCTGCTGTTTGAGGTCGTTACACAGTAGGTGTTTACCTGTGTATTTACATAAGGAGGTTACAATGCATACATGTCTGTGTATGGATGTTATGAAGATAGGGAATAAAGCTTAACTGAGCTGTACAGGTGCCTGTAGGCTTTTAGAGCTATTTTTCTCCTGGTAACTTGGATACCTGTTATACTTCAGTGTGTCTTTTACTGATGTCTGTCTTGCATCTCAAGGTACAAGCTCTGTAGGTAAAAGTTCTGTTCCTTACCATGCAGCGGGAACAGGATGGGAACTTGTGTTCTAGAGGATAAAATCAGAAGAAAGTGTTTGGCTCTCAGTATTCCTCTGCTGTTTGAGGTCGTTACACAGTAGGTGTTTACCTGTGTATTTACATAAGGAGGTTACACAAGGACATCTCTAGTAGAAAAGAGAAAAGATTTGTTACTGTTTGGGGTAGGCATGAACACAGGCTCTGTGAGAAGCAAGCAGCCTTTAGAGCCTGCCCCTCTTGTTAAGTCCGTGTTTGTGGATTTTTCTTCCATTTTTCTTTTGTTTTTTTTTGGCTTCCTAAGGAAGGTAGAGAGGCTCAGTGAACTTGACAGGACAAACATGTTCTCACCTATCAAAGGCAGTTCCTGCTGACTCCATCTGGCTGATGCATTGGCAGCTTTTTAGCAGGTGGTGGCAAAACACAGGTGAAGTGACACTTTAGTGTCTTGTGTGCAGAAAAGATGAGGATGGATGGCAGGAATGAAGGAAGAGGTGTTACGGAGGAAGGAGAAGAAAGAAAAACAAGTGGGTATAGAGAAACAAAAGAAGAGTAGGGATGTTGTTAAAAAGAATAAAAAAACTAAAAGAAAAGGGATATATAGGTCTACACTTAGACTCTAGCACAGAATATAGAGCAAAATAGGATTAAGCCTGCCTTCCTTGGTGTAGGTCTTAAGTGATGCAAAAATAATCAGCTGGTCCACTAGAATGTTCTGAGGAGCATCTTAGTCACCTAACAACTCTTCTTGCACCAGTTTTGTGAAATAGGAAGGAAAAGAGTGCAAAAGACTGAAAAGCAAGTAGCACACAGCAGAAATCCTTGCTGGACCACTACATAGCATATGCTGTTTTTTTTAGTATATAGCAGGGAACAAAGTTCCAGTACTTTTAAATAAGCCTGATAAGAACTTTCCTATTTAAAGCTTTTTTTTTTTTTCAGTCTCTTGTTACCTTTGAGTTGCTGGTATTGCCTTATTGGCCAACTGCCCTTTTTTGGATGGGGGGCTTTTGTGCTATATCTCGTTCTGACAAAGACCAGGCATGTCATGCTATTTGGTCTTTCCACTCCCATCCTATAGTCTGAGATTGCTGCAGAACTTGTCCAGAATCTGAGAAGATTTAAGGTGGATACTGCATGGTCTGCTCTGCATAGGATTGTTGTACAAATAGAGCTACAACACATTATACGTGCTGTCTTTTCAGGCTTTATTTTCCTTTTTCCTGACAGACTGTGGTTCTGTGCCACGGAGCTCGGATAGGATTCTTCCAAGGGGATATCAGGCTACTTATGGATGACCTAAAAACGTTGCAGCCAACTGTATTTCCTGTAGTACCCAGGTTATTGAACAGAATGTTTGACAAGGTAAGTCTACAGGCTGAGTCTGGATCTGTGCAGGGTTTTAACAGACTTTGTGAAGTCTGTGCTGGAACTGTTGTGCTCTGGGACGTTCAATCAGATGCTGGCGAATGGGTTTATCTTTCTAAAATAGAGCTGAAAGTGCAGAGAGTAGTACTGGTTGTATGAAAACATTTTCAGGCAGCAAATATTGGTGTTGAAAAGTCTGACCGGGGGACTGGGTTCTCTCTAGCTTGATTAATGACTTACTGCTTTGCTCTGAGCAAGTTACTTAAGTCCAGCCTACACCATGAACTTAGCTTAGCATCTGCACGCCACGCTTTTAGCATCTGACTCATGGAGTGGAATTTGCAAACCAAGGTCAGGTGTCTGCCTATGTTTGCATGGACGCATATAAGTTTCCTACGCAGCAGCCAGCGTTTTTCTAGCAGGGAGAATTAGAAACCAGCCAGTCAGGAGCACTGGGGAGAGGGTGTGTCAGCAACCCCGGTCTCTCCTGTGCTTGCCTGCCCAGGGTCATCTGAGAAGTAGATTCTTCCTTGAATTTAAGATTTTTAAGTCATCCTTTTGCCTGTGGGTGGGTGGCTGAATCTTAGGATACAGCCAGAGGAGTTAAAGGACAGAGCAGGAAGTCCTGTGACTGCTAAAGAAATGGCAGGGCTGTCTTAGCCAGGGCACTGCTCTAATTAGGAGACTAGAGGAACAGTGAGTAAAACAAGGTTCTGTTTGGCCCCAGGAACAAATCATAGAGCGGTTTGGGCTGGAAGGGACCTTAAAGACCATCCAGTTCCAACCCCCTGCCATGGGCAGAGATACCTCCCATTAGACCAGGTTGCTCAACTCTGATACATTTGGAGGGAAGGAATTAAAGCCCTGCCTGTGGTACTTAAATTTTACCACTTCATTCTGTACTAGAATTTGGGAAATGGAGCCAAAGCTTGGGACTCTCTTCTTTCCTGATGTCATCTTGCTTGTTGACTCCAGTGCCCTAAGGCTTTCACGTATGTGTCTGTGGCACTGGTTCAACATTGCCCAGCCTTGCAGTAACCAGCATGTGAAGTTAAGTGGGAAATTAGGGGGGGGCTAATGCTGAAAAGCTGCTGGGTCTGTCTCTTTCCAAGTGAGTATGTTAATTTGTGGTTGTCTGCTGTGACTGAGAACAACCAGAAGAAGCCTTTGAAAAGTAATCTAAAGAGCAAGTTTATATAGGCAAGACAAATCTCAGATATTTCTGAAGGGACCTGTATGTCCTCAGAAAACCTTGTGTTACTTTACATATTATGATGGTGTGCTCTCTAGGATATGTAAGGATTATACTTAATTCTGCTTTTGATCAAAGTGGAATAGAAAAGTAAAACATCAGCTTTCAATCATACTTTGAAGTGGAGAAACTATACATTGAAAAAGCATCACACAGTTGGATTGGGAAACAGGAATTAAAGTGCTAATTTTGGTGAAGATCTCTTTAACTGAGGTAAAAAGCCAAAATGCAAGTATTTCTTACCAGAATTAAGATGTTTACCAACAAAGGTTTAGTTTATTTCGTTTTCACTGTTAAGAGTCTCTGCATGCTTCTGTAAGAAAGGGAACAGTAGTCTGTGAAGCTTCTAATAACAGATCTTTTTTGTCAACAGATCTTTGGACAGGCAGATACTGCATTAAAGAGGTGGATGCTGGATTTTGCTTCCAAGAGGAAAGAAGCAGAACTCAGAAGTGGTATAGTTAGAAATAACAGTTTCTGGGATAAAGTCATCTTCCGTAAAATACAGGTATGTTTGAAAGCCTCTGAGTCCATGAGTCTTTGCATGGTGGATATTGCAGCTCATTTCCAACTCCATTTTTCAGTTCCCTTCGTTCTAATAATACTCTAACTGTATTAGGGGGGTTTCTGTAAAACGGCCTGGTGCTTGTCTCTTGCTGCTTTGAGAGCAAACACTGTCCTTCTGAAGGAGGAGGAATGCTGAATGTGACTTAGTGCCACCTGTAGCCCCTACTGTCTCCTGGCTGTTGGGTCACTAGTAAGCTATGCCTGTTATTAGCTGGCACTCGCTGGCTGTGGCCCTAACCTTGGTCGTACAATGTGCCCCTGGGGCGGCTTTTTATAGTGCTCAGGGTGTAGGAGAAGCTGAGAGAAGGCAGTTAAAAATAGTCCTTGCTGTAAGGCCATCACTTAAGCTCTTTTAGACTTCTGGCTGAGTGTGTGTTGCAGTGACACTATAGCACAGTCTTTGTAGATACTGTATGTTTGAGATTACGGCCTCTTTCAGACATTAATGATATTAAAAACGCTACGAAAACTAAAAATTGCTACAACTTGCAATAGAAGACTAAATTTTAATCTCTAATCTCTGTGGGTGGCACTGTAGGTGAACAGTGGCTGAGGGTGGGATGGAAAAAGACTCTGGAAACTTCTCTAAAATGCTTATGGTGTCCATAGTATCTTGTGTCTGTTGTAGGCAAGTTTGGGAGGAAAAGTGAGGCTCATGATCACAGGGGCAGCACCTGTATCTGCAAGTGTTCTGACCTTCCTGAGAACAGCTCTTGGCTGTCAGGTGAGTTTCCTGGCCCTAATCCTAAAACAGAGTTTTTTAGTACTCATTCTATCTTTGATGTTAAAGCATTTTTAGTAGTCTGAGACTGGGTAATTCTTTCTGGCATTCTTCTTGGAGACGACACACATGCATATTCCTTTCTAGAGTTTCTCTGTCCTCTGGGATTTCCGAATTCATCCCAAAGTCTTTATTATAACTGAAGTAACCAGCTGAACTATCTTAAGGGAAAGACTTTTTTATGTGGGCTGCTATAAGCAATAATTAATGTTCTTGGATTAAGTTCCTGGGACTTGTGTTCCTTACAGAAGTATTCAGAACTGCTGTAGAGAATCCAATCAACATGACAATTATTGTAGTGTTGTTGCTTTGAAGATGGGACTGGGGAGAATCAGATTGTACATGGGGGAATGGTTTTAAATTGGAAGAGGGGAGATTTAGATGAGATATTAGGAAGAAATTCTTTGGTAGTGAGACCCTGGCCCAGGTTGCCCAGAGAAGCTGTGGCTGCCCCATCCCTGGAGGGGTTCAAGGCCAGGCTGGATGGGGCTTGGAGCAAACTGGTCTGGTGGGAGGTGTCCCTGGTTGGAACTGGGTGATCTTTAAGGTCCCTTCCAACCCAAACCATTCTGTGATTAATTTCAGCTTAATGAAGAAACTGTATGTTGAAAAGTAAGAATTTTAAATAGTCTTCTGGTTTCACATCCTAGTTCTATGAAGGCTATGGACAGACAGAATGCACAGCTGGATGCTCACTGTCACTGCCTGGTGACTGGACAGCAGGTATGGTGTTTAGGGGTCTGCCTGTCAAATTTTGGGATGCTCTAGAGGTCCCTGATCCCATTATTTAGTCTTCAGCGCACCTGTTTTCCTTCAAGTGAAGTAAAAAAGTTTTGAAGGGATCCCTTGAAGTTTCTACCCCTAAATAACTTAGGAAGGTTCAGTAATCCAAACTTGTAATAGGCTTTGTCCTTGGAAGTTGAAGTGGATTTAGGAGAGGGGAAGTCATAGTATCAACCACTTTTGCAGAACAAGAATCTGCTCTGTATAAACACACTGTTGGAAATTTAAATGGTATTTTTTGGTGTTGGAACAAACAGGCTGCATTTCTGTCAGCTGTTACATCTCTAGCTCCCTAACTGAAATAACACTGATAATTAAAACTATAGTGGGACTTTTGCTACTTAAATATGTCCCGAGAGTGAGGATCCTGATTATAGGAAAAAGCAAGACTGAGTACATGGTTCAGCTTGAAACATTCTAGGGATATCTGAGAATGCAATGTTTCAGTCCCAGTAAACTTAAGCTATTGCTGTACTGGTATTGGTGTAGTACACTATCAGAAATCAGTTTTCCACCTTTTTTTTTTTAACTTTTGCATGTAACCAGCTTATTGTTCTAAGAACCTGACTAAAAAGCCGTTCAGGCTATTGAAGTGTTACTGTCCCTAATAGGTCATGTTGGAGCACCCATGCCATGCAGTATCATCAAGCTTGTTGATGTACAAGAAATGAATTACTTGGCTGCCAAAGGAGAGGGTGAGGTAAGTAATTTCAAAAGCTCAATAAAAGCCTCTTATGGAATCTTGGAAAACATTTTTTTTTGTTCCAGAAATAGCAAGTAACTGAATTTTGTAAAAGAGGTAAATGTGGCCTGCTACCTAAAATCAGATGTCTGCTTTGCCTGTGTGCAATGTCAGCTAATGATTCACAGATGCAAAACAGAAAATAGTGTATTGGAGGGGAGAAAAAGCAGCTTATTGTGGGATAACATACTATGTATTTATGGTTGTATGACCAGTGTTCCATGTTCTGGCTGTGGGAAAGCAGAGAAGCTTGCTATTTCTGTGTACATATATATCTCTATATATCTATCCTGCCTGTATCCTTCAATAAAGTGCTTGCAGAGGGCTTTCCTCCATGCCCTGCCAAGTGCTGAAGAAGAGCTGATGAGTGTAGCTTGTTACCCACCTTGTGATGTGTGAGATGAGGTAATTTAAAGTGGCTGGGACACCATTAAGAGAAATGGAGATAAAATGCCATGAAGGCTGCTAATGATTTGTGACAACTGCCTTCATGTTCTTCTCAACTTTTTTTCTGCAGTCTGCAAAAATTGTGTGTTTTACAAATTACACTTTGAGGACTCAGCTTTGTCTGTAATGCCATGTGCTGTCTTTTTCAATATATTTTACTTAAAAAAATATATATAAAGCTTGAACTTTGTCTGTAGACTCTTAAACGGATGTTGATGTAGTGATTTATTTCCCTCCCTCTCCCCCCTCCAAACCCTGAAAGCAAATTAACTGGTGTCTTCCATATGCTTTCAAGCAGTTGGTGGGTAAGAAATGGGTAAATAAAAAGCAGCTTAAGCCAGTAGCTAATTTGACTGCAAAGAATATATAATCTTGATTTGTTTTGGTTGTAATTTGTATGAGACTAAAGATAAATCATTGGGCTTTAATTCCCAGAAATTTAGTTGTGGTTGGTGGTGGGAAACTATTTGCAAGTAGGAAGCAATGGTAAGATTCTTTCCTGTCTTGCATATGACCCCATGTTTAGTCTTCATCAGCAGTTTTTGCTTCAATTTAAATATGCTTTTAAAGCTCAGTCTGCTAGAGAAACTAAGTATAAATTGTCATAATGAGAAACAGTTAAGTAGCTATAAAAAAACACTTCTAAAAATGTTTGGCTTGCACTTACTGTGAAAGTTTGCTACATTAGGAGTTTCTTTGGACTTGAAAAAATGCAGTAGCCCCTTAATGTATCAGGTACCATCTTTAATCTTTCACCCCTATTCAACTATTCTGAATTTAACAAATAAGTGTTGTAACTTGTTTCACAGAACTGAAGCCCATAGCTATAAAATTGGCTGTCATTATCCTTTGCCTAAAATAGATCTTCTTCCTCGTTGTCCTGCTCTTCAGCTGGATTTAACACTCCCAGTCCTCCTTTCTGAGAGTCAGCTTTCAATATTCTCTGTTCTGTCAGTCTTGTTTTTCACTCCTGCTAGTTCTCCATGTTCAAGAAGGATAAACTTGTGAATAGAATTATATATGCTGATATGCAGCTAAAGTCTTAGTGCCAGTTAGCAGGATACATGTAAATAAATGGTTTGCTGCCTCTACTGGAGGAGAGTTGTCACCTACTGCCACCCTGTGACTGTAGGAGCCATGAGAAGTGAAATGTTTGGTTAGTCAGCCTTTGACTTGACTGGGACGTATAGAGTTCTTCTCTACTCATATCCTTCCCAATAAGCTGTGTTTTAGAGCAGAAATGACTTGGTTCTTAAAACCTGAGCTTGGTTTGCTGATGAGTTTGGAACTGTTTCTGTGAGGGCATCAGAACCCTCACTGGTACTCTCGTCTCCTTGCTGTTGACACATCTCCTGTTCACTGTGGTGTGGCTCACAGCATTCCTATATCCTGTGCTGAGGTTAGCACTGGGAATACTTGGGATGAGTTTTTCAGGAATTGGTCTGAACTACGTTAGTGATTTCTTCTAGTCTGAGAATTGGTATTAGTGCCTGAAGATTTCTTAGCCAGTTCCTTGCCCATTTTACAATTGTACTAATCCCCTGGACTAATAGTTGGCCTGGTATTTTATCAGCCCAATGTGGTCTTAACTTAAAGCTGGATTCTCTATCTCATTCCTGTAGATCTTTTTTTATAGTCCTGATAATATTTACCAGGCTCTTCTTACTGTCTTCTGTCACCCACACATGCAGAGGCACTCCCAAGCTGGTGTGATGGTTGGATCTTTGTTGCTTCTGGGGACTCTTGTGTGGAGCTTTCAGGGTTTTTTGGACTCCTGATTCCCCCACAGTTGTATGCAGTGGGAATCTCGAGTTTTGCCTCTTGTTTATCTTGCTTATCTGTCTGTCCTCACTTCTTAAAAGATATTTTATTGTCCTGCTGATCCTTAAATAACAAGAGTCCTGTCCCATGTGCCCCTTCTACCCACCAAAGAAAACTTACACACCCTTGGGTGTTATCTGGAGAAGGAAATACTTAAATTTGGGATCATCTCTGAATACTTCAGGCTCTCTTTGCTCCTTGTTCCTCACTCATTGCTTTACTTCTATATTCTCTTTCTACAGATCTTTTTTAATATAGCTTGTAAGGTTTGCCCTGATTCTCTGGCAATCTCTTCACCTATAAACCTTTGAGCTTGTTGGTGCTTTTCTTATATCTTGTGACCTTTGTTTTTTGATCCTAATAATGCCAATACATCCAGTTATATCCAGAGAAGTTCTTAGTTTTTCTACTTGGTATACAAATCCAGACAACCTTCAATTTAAAGAAATTGCAGGTTTCATTTATAGAGAAGCCTGGAGCGCTCTAAGCCCTGAGGTATTAACTGTTTACTTTTAGACCACAAACATGTGATTGTGTGATATGCAGCTTTTTTTTGTCACTAGTTTTAGTGTGATGCACCTGCTGTGTACTGAAGCTGAAACAGACATGTTGCCAGGCTGAGGGGTAACATTTCTGGATCCAGCAGAATTTCTTCAAATAAATAAAAATAAATTTCCTCTGATAAATTCATATTATTCAAATACCGGGTAGGAACACTGCTGCTAGGCTGGAAGACAATAGATGCTTCCAATTACTACTTATTATTATATTTACACTGATAGAAAATGTTAGGTCTCAAAAACCATGAATAGAGATTTTTGTACTAATGCGTAAACTTCGTCTTGCCTTTTTAGTGGGGGTTATTGAGAACCACTGGAGAAACCCGTTGCAAAGAGTGTGTGTGCTACGATGAAGGGAAGTTAACAAACTAACAAGTGGCTGTTTGCAGGTGTGTGTGAAAGGGCCAAACGTATTCCGTGGCTATTTGAAAGATCCAGAAAAAACAGCAGAAGCTCTGGACAAAGATGGCTGGCTCCACACAGGAGATATTGGGAAATGGCTACCAGTAAGTTAACCTATAGAGCTGAAATGTACTTCTGTAGTCATTAGCAGGAATTTAATAAATAAAGTATTGAAAATATTTGGTATTAAACACAAAGAATTAGGTGAAAGACAAATAATTTTAGGAGGAGGGTAATTACTGTCATAGATAAATCTGTGTGCTAGAAAGGTATTGGCAGTGCCAATCCTGAAGCTTTCCCTACTTTAGGTTAGATGGGTGCAGAGCCTGTTTTCTTCTGACATGACTTTGGCAGTGCTCTGGCACTATTTTACTGTACAACCTCATCTACCTTAAAGAAACTGTCTTGGATCATTCCCAGCACTTAAGTTTGTATTAAACCAGAATTCAGGCAATAGCACTTTTGGTCTGTTGTTGAATGCTTAACAAAGGTTGCACAGTAATACTTGAAGCTGAAACACACAGAAACAAGCTCTTGTTTGCATGTTTTAATTCTGGTTCATTATGTGATCCAGCATGGCACGCTAATGCTGCGTAGATTGGTTTTTCACTTGAAGTGCCTCTTCTGAGTGGAAGTTATTTCTGTCAACAGAATGGTACATTGAAGATCATTGACCGGAAAAAACACATATTTAAACTAGCCCAGGGAGAGTACATAGCACCAGAGAAAATAGAAAACGTGTATCTGAGAAGTGAAGCGCTTGCTCAAGTGTTTGTCCACGGAGAGAGCTTGCAGGTAAGCATTTTTTTCTTCAGGTCATTTAATGCAAGAGGAGATGGCAGAAAAGAGTTTTCTTTTCCTCCCTCCCCCCAACCCCAACTTTGAGACTGAAATCTTAAAATTTTTTAACATTACAGATTTTGGATCTGAATGCACTTTCAACTCCAGCAGTTACAGAGCATGTTTTTGGATTTAATTCCAGACCATGTAGTACAGCTGGAATAATTTAACTGAGTATTAATGACTGGACATAAATTGCTAACAGTGTGCAGGGAAAATAATAAGTAAAAAACCCAACCCTAATAAAACCTCCACAAACCCAAGTAGTCCAGGTTTTTGCGAGTGTAAATTGAAATGTGGGTCTTAAGAGAACTAGTCTTGTGAAGTGCAAGCTTCTGAACTGTACTCTTCATCCAAGTAGCAGCAAGATGCTGACTTAACAGCAGGATGAGACCTGCTGTCCAAACCACAATCCTGATGAGCAAGAAATGTGTAGGAACAACAGTGTTGATTTTCAAAAGAAAGGAAAATAAAAAAGCTTGACAAAAATTCCTTTTTTAGGCCTTCTTAGTAGCTATTGTGGTACCCGATCCTGAGACTTTGCGCAACTGGGCCAAGAAAAAGGGATTTGAAGGCTCGTATGAAGAGCTCTGCAGAAACAAGGTGAGTCCTGGCTGAGGAAGCTGTTTAGCTGTTCTGCACCAGCTGTTTCAAGCCGTACAACGTATTCCTGTATCCGCAGGACCTCAAAAAACACATTCTGGAAGACATGCTGAGGATCGGGAAGGAATCGGGTTTGAAGTCATTTGAACAGGTAAGATGCCAATGAGAACTGAATACCTCATTCTTCAAACTGCTCAATCCCAATATAATATGACTCTGCGGAAAGAGATTTTCATGTGCAGCTGGAAGATCTTTTAAAGTGGTGGGCTTTGTTAGGATGTCGGGGCAATCTTTTTAATGGCCGTGTCTATTCCGAGGAGTGCAGCTTGGCTATTGATATGTTTCTTTTTCCAGGTTAAAGACATCTTCATGCACACGGAAATGTTTTCTATTGAAAACGGGCTGCTGACACCCACGCTGAAGGCGAAGAGACCAGAGCTGCGCAAATATTTCCAGTCGCAGATAGATGAACTCTATGCTAATGCCAAAATGTAACTGCTGAGCGGAACGGCGAGGGAAAGCGGCGCGCGTCTGATGTCTACTGTTGGCCTTCATATCTGTAATTTTGACTACAGCAAACCTAGGGAAGGAAACTGTGCAATCATTAACTTGTACAAAAATGGGTACTTGCCATAGGAACACGGAAGAGATGGACACACTGCCTTACTGTCGAGTTGTGTTGCATACTGTTTTTATGGTGACCTACAATTTCCAAAAAGAGCCTTAACTATAAATGGTAACTATATATGTAAGTTATTTAAGACTTCCTTGGCCAAAAAAAATGGGACTCTCCTTCACCAAGGAGCTAAGGTTTTCTTATTGCCAGCATGTTTGCTGTCTGCGGTGTCTCTTGCAGTTGTCAATTCCACTAAGGATTTGGCGGGTTTGAAAATGCCTCTATCTTGCATCCTCAGAAGGATTACTTAATAAAAAAAAACAAACCAACATCCAAACCCCAGACAAACACCAACCACCAAAAAAAAAAACCCACCTCTACAGTTGTACAGCTGGTATCACACCTTGCATTAGTCCTAATATTAACTGGGGCAAAGATTTTGAGTGGTTTTTCTCCCTCTTATATCTGTAGCCAGTTCTGAGATCTGCTTTCCATAAGGGTAGAAGTCAGAACTCCACCTGGATGAGACTGCTGAGTACCAGTTCCTCACTGGTTCCACGCTGAAAGTGCGGGTAATTCAGCTGGGGAGGCCTTGGCTACCTTAACACCCCCCCAGGGTAATGCCAGCCCTGTAAACCAACAGATCCCAACTCTGGCAAAAACAAACAACACTACAGACTGAAAACCAAAACCATTCAGGAGGCTGGGCTGTGCTAACAGTCAGGTAAACACCCCACCTGTCCTACCCACTCGCTTCCCTGTATTTAAAATGCATTTTTTTAATTTAAAAATGTGCCAGGTCCTCTGTAAGCAGAAGAGCTTCTGACATAACCTCTCGGTTTTCTGTGCTTTACGTATGAGCCACTGAGTATTTCTTCACCGAATAGCAAACTAGGTCAGGTAGAATGGTTATTTTGTTTTTTGCCTGATGCTTTGCAGCAATTGGGAAGTATTTAAATATCCCAACGGAACTGTGCGTTGGCACAGGATAGGTATTTGTTCAGGGATTAAAAACCTAATTCCCAGATAAATTACAAAAATAACTAGTTACCTTTTTTGTTTGAGAAATCAGCAGAAATAAGCCTTATTACAGCATAAGTCTTTTGCTATCCTTAACAGAGTTGGTTTTGCATTAGCATTCATTGCTGGTTTTTTTTTTTTTTGAAAACATGGATATATGTAAAATACAAGCACAACAAGGTTTGCACTAAGATTTGTGTGTGATTGTAATGCACTACTCTGTAGCATAATTTCATACCTGTGTGCAATTAAAGGTACACAAATCCGAGTCAACTGTTAGAGCGGTAGTTTGTTACATTGGAATTCAAATGTTTGCTTAGTGTTGGCTATTTCTATGTTTTATAAAACCAAAACAATTTTCAAAACCAATGAAGGAAACCAAAATAAATATTTCTGCATTTCAAGTGTGTGAAGTGTGTTTTATCAAGGAAGGATGCTGCTGAGGTGTAACTTGGTAACTCCCACAAGCTGTGAAACTACGCTGCTCCGAATATTCTAAATGGAGCAGAAATGCTGGTTCGTGAAACTTTACTTCTGGAAGATGACTTTCTGCTTCAGTCTGGTATTTATGGGTAGGTTTTTGGCCATTATTTTTAAGAAAGGGATGGTGGTGTATGTAACTTGCTCTATGTCTTCAGTAATGGTTTCTTACCATCATCATAAATGGCTTTTAAGTGAAATCTAGAATTTTGTTAACTCTTGTGCTGCTTTTGGGGATGGTGGTGGTTGTTGTTCCTGTGGTGTTGTCCCTCTTCCCCTTCCCCCTTTATACCACGCATCTGGCTCTAATCAGTGGTGGTGTATGAAAATTTCATGGGTAGATTTATCAGACCGTAGCACATGAAGCATCACCATCAAGACAGTGTTTAGAGCCATCTTGATGTTACTGTGAAATAAGCACAATTTGCTCCTAGTTGCAGTAGGCTTTTTTTCCCCTTTTGAGTAATTTTCTGTATTCCTTTATCCCTGGTGAAGTAACTCTTAACCAAATTTTTTGTTGTTTATTTAATACATGTTCAAATGTGTGTATGCTACTTGGAAAGAGTGAAGTCTCACCATCTTTCTCCTAATGGAGACAGATGAGAGCTGGCTTTAATGTTTATGTTCTTTGCTCATCTGGTCAAAGCAAGCTTTCTGCAAGAGCCACTTCTCATTGCAGAAATTAAGCTGTGCTGTATGTTGTCTGTACACCACGTAGTCTGAGGGCCATGGAGGTGGTCCAAGGGCTGGAGCTCCTCCGCTGTGAGGACAGGGTGAGAGAGTTGGGGGTGTTCAGCCTGGAGAAGAGAAGGCTCCAGGGAGACCTTAGAGCCCCTTCCAGTCCCTAAAGGGGCTCTGGGAGAGACTCTGGATCAGGGAGGGGAGCCATAAGAGAAGGGGGAATGGCTTAAAACTGAAATAGGGGAGATTTAGATGAGATCTCCGGAAAGAATTCTTTGCTGTGAAGGTTGTGAGAGCCTGGCCCAGGTTGCCCAGAGAAGCTGTGGCTGCCCCATCCCTGGAGGGGTTCAAGGCCAGGCTGGATGGGGCTTGGAGCAACCTGGTCTGGTGGGAGAGCCAAACCATTCTGTGACTCTGTGTTACTGCTTGGTACCATCAGCTTGTGGACTGTTAAACTAGAATTGTAAGGAGACCATTCCACCTGATACTCCTGAAGTGATATTTCACCCTGTTTTAGCTTATTTGCTTGGAAAAAAACAGGGTTGGGGACAACAGATCCCTGGAGGAACACTCTTATGGATGGAAAGATGTGACATGACAGGGGCCCCTCCAATAAGGCTTTGTTGACAAATTGCTAAGCCTCCCATTAGTAATTAAATTGCTGACTAACTAAATGCCAGAGACCTAGAATTACATCTTTTTTTTTTATTGGTACGCTCTTACAGCCAGCAACCTTTTTGCATGTTTCAAATCAATTTCTTTTCTGAACTGCTGCAAGTCTTCTTCTTTTTTTTTTTTTATCTTAGAGCTCAGGTTATCTTAGTAGAGGTGATCTTGTTTGCTTGTGTTGCTAGATAGGGACTAAGTCTTGGCCTCTGGCAATGTCTAGAGGAGAAAACCTGTGTTTTGGGTGGGTTTTGGTTTTTTTTTTTTTAGTGTGGTTTGTAGGGAAAAAAATGGTCAGGTCAATTCTTCTAGAGCTGCTGCTGGGCTCGCCAATGGGATATGTTTGGACACCGAAAAAAACCCCACCACCTCTATATTTGGAATGAGGAAATAGCTTTTCTCCTCATCTCTTTAAAATGAAAAAAAAACCCAAACCCAACCAACAAACTGGTGTACAAGTACCTCCGTACTCCGTTTTAAAGCGTCCCCTCACACCGGCTCTACCTCCTGACAGGGGCCGGCCTCGCCGCTTCCCTCCCCGGGCAGGGGGCGGTCCTCTCATGGCCCCTCTCGCCGCTTCCCCTTCCGGCGCTCCGCCGCCTCGTCGCACCTCCCCTTCCTTCTCCATCCGTTTCCCTTCCTACCCTTCCCGCCGTCCGGTTTGAATCGCGGCGGGAAGGCGGGTGGGTGCCCTGGGGGGGTCGGTGTCCCCGCGGGCGGGCGGTGGGGCCGGCGGCCGCCATTTTCCTCCCTGAGGCCCCGGGCCGGGCCTGGGGCTCCCGCCTAAGGGGAGCGGCAGCTGTGGAGCTAAAGTAAAGGTGTAAGTAGCGTTATGCGTCGCCTTGCTTTACATTTTTAATATGTATGTCTTGTTACTGATTTATACTTGCTACGGCAGGCGTTGGGCTGCTCTAACAGAGTGAGTTTTACTGCTTTTGAAGTGAGTTATGCATAATATGTTGAATTAACAAAGATTTCCCGTTCTCTGCCAGGTATTGAGACACAGAAAGTGGGTTTGTGTTGGTATCCTCGGGTAACTGTCACCGTCTTCGGCAACTGTATCCTCAGTTGTGTGTTTACTAGCTTATATCGAACAACGAAATGTCCTCTAAGAAGAAAAGGAAGAGAAGTCATTCCAGAAGTAAATTAAAGGTAAGTTTTTGCTAGCTTGAGCAGAATTAAAGCAGCAAGCGTTGTGTTGTTTTGCCGTGCCCTTGTGGCGTTGGCTCTGGAGGTGCAGGCATTAACGCAGGGCTTTGCTGGGCACTGTTTGGGTCCTGGGGTTTTCCTTTTCCTGTGTTTTTTTTTCTTTTTTTCTTTTAGGAGCAGGCAGGAAAAACTGGCCATTGACTTTCAGATAGGCTAGAGTTTGAAAACAATCTTGTAAAATTGATGCTTAACTTATAAATTCTATCTCTTATAAGAAGTTGTGCATTGCTTTTCTTTTTTTTTTTTTTAAAGTGAGAATCATTAGATTGGACAAGGATGGACTGTAATGCAATACAGAGGTGAAAGAAGAAATATTTTAGCACCTGAAAAGAAAAAGGCCACAGATCATAAAAACCAGATATTAGACTGCTACAGGATTTCTAAGCTTATGCACTTAGTTTTATAAAATAAGATAAAGCTCACGTTACAGTATAGCAGCAAATAGAATAGATTAGTTTTATACCTTTAGTTCTCTTGGAGGGGAAAAAACATAGTCTGAGGAAAAAACACATGCCTTAAGTACTTTGTATCGTAGCTCAGTTGTCAACATGGTCCAAGTTTAATGTATTTCTAGTCAAATGTTTGTGAAATTCATTGTCATATTTCATCTGTTTTATGCCGAAAAAGCTGGATGAAGTAGCTATTGATTAATTTCATACTCATGCAGGAACACGAAGCCAGCTCCCGTTCTCGCTGGAAATTGCTAATGCCAGAGGAACCAGATGTCTCCAGGATATTGAAGGTGGCAGAAGCGAATCAACTCGAGGAGCTTGATGATTCGTTTGGTGAGTATTAACTTGAATGTCATTTGATACATGATTTTCATGAACAAAACACATGGGCAAAATATTTCAATGCTTTCCTGGGGAAAGGTATTGTTTCTTTGCCAGAGAAAGTTATGGGCAGGAGAGATGGGGGCTTTTTGATAGTGGTGTCGTTTTCTGTCATTTAGGAAGTAACAAGAATAACGCTGTAGTTTGTGCAAGAAAAAGAAAAATGCTCTCTATAAAGTTTTATAGTCCGAATGGTATAATTCCATGCAATATAACATTGCAATTGTGCAAGAGTTTACATTTTAAAAGAAAAGCTCAATATCTGAAGTTGCTCTATTAAAATAATTACACAAATCATAAAGTGAAATGTTTTGCTATTGTAAGAGCAATAGAGCAATTGTAAGTTTGCGTGGCAGCAAACTTAGACATTCACAGGGATGTTGTTCTACTTAAAAAGTAACCTCATAAAAACATACTATTTTTAGTGCAGCATTAAAGCCATTTTCATGCTTCATGAAAGCTTGTGCTGTGAGGCCTCAATATACTGGAAGATAATTTAGAAGGAGTATGTGCTCCCGTGTGAAGTTCTCTGTTATTAAATACATACATGTCAACATTGGTAAGAAAAAACATGTAATTAGAAGTTGTAGGGAAAAAAATAAGGGCTGTTTCTCCACTGTAACAGTTATTACACTAAGAAATCGACGGAAATATACATGTAACTACAAGAAACAGCGTTGAAAGTGAACGATAAAGAACAATATAACAAACAGGTTGTCATAAGGGATAGTCTGCAAAAGGAAAAGCCCTTCCTCACTTCTGTGGTGTCTGTTAAAAACAATAAAAAGGATGTCCACTAACACTAATATAAGCTAACACTAAACTTTTATGGCAATATGCCTGAAAAAAGAAATATACACTACAGAAGGCAGGCTAAAATCTTAAGGTTCTCAGTGTTTTAATGCATCCTGGTAGCCACCTTTGAGAATTCTACATTCACAAACTTTGTGAAGCAGCTGTGACTGTCTTCTTGTAGCATCCAATAAATCAGCTGAAAATCCATATTTAAAAAGGTAAAACTTATAAAGTAGTTGTTTAAATGGATAGAAGATTGCTGCGTGCCATAGCAAAGAAAGACTTTAAATCAAGTGTACAAAATGTTTTGCTTGCTGTGTGCCACACGGACATGCTGAGCTTTCTTGCACTTTTGGTTCCAGTTTGTAAAGAAACAGCAGATAGATGAATATAGAAACTATGAAGCTTTTAGCTATGTATATTCTTTTATCCTGCTATTCAAATAATGTATTTTACAAGACTTCCTTTTATTAGTGAGCAAACCACAAATATTCTAAGTGCGTGCTTGACGGCGGGCAGCGCTGATGTGTCCACGCTCTTTGCCTGGACAGAGGGGAACAATTTTGATAGGGGTTATTTTCTGTTCTTTATAGATCATTATTAATCATTATTTTCTGCCCTTCCCAGATCACCCGTTGCACAGTACCGCTGTGGGCGCTTACGGAGAGGAGCAATCGCAACATGAGCAGCTTGGTCGTGTTTCAGCTCTCCAGAGGAAAAAGGCAGAAAGAAGGTCTGGTGAAAAAAAAATAAATAATAATCACCAGCATTTAATCTTTTAGCTTTTTAGATTAAATGGGGGAAAAAGTTCTGTTTGTCAGGATTCCCTACTTGCTTATTAAACAGATGCTTTAACTTAGAATTTCCCATATGAGAAAAGAGTAAGGAAGGTTGGGGAATGTAGAAAAGAAATGGGAGAATAAGTTACTGTTTGCCTTTTGCAAGCAGTACATTGATTTAAGTACTTACTGTATTTTTTTCCAAATTAAAAGATTATTTTAAAATCTCTGTGAGATACTAATTAGTCCTCTAAACGCTGGTGGATTTAAAGTGAAAAAGTTGAAAAATGGAAAATGAGTAAAAGTCAGGTAAATTACATGTAACAAAGAAAATTAATTTTCAAAAAAATCTTTAAACACAAATTTTAGTGTGTTTCTCGTTTGCTAAATCAAATTTGGTTTAAATCTGAACTATTTCTTATTTGAATTAACTAGCAAGACAATAACAGAGCTTGTATGAGAATGTGGGGGGTTTTTGTGTGTTTTAATTTCTAACCCTGCCATGCCTCCTTTCCTGCTAAAATACCCTCAGTAATAATTTTGTTCCTGTTTTGAAGTTTCTTCTCAAAGCAACATGGTCAGGTAGTAATGGATTTTTAATTGTTGCAAGGATTGCTGTTGAGGGATAAAGTTTCTATTTCCCTTTATCTGCCATTTGCAACTTTTTACGTAGTTGTTTTAGGAGACACAAACCGAGTGACGTAGCGATACAAAATGTTTCCCCCAAACCTAAGATTTTGTTGTATGTTTGTTTGTATGTACTGTATTTTGTTGTTATTTTGTTTGTAAGGTTGAAGATTGCTCTCAGTGTGTAGTGGATTTACACGTGGATATTTTTCTTTTCCTAGTAAGAGTCTGCATCACTCGAAAACATCTGGTGGTGACACTCAGAAACGGAGCGCGGCTGATCCTGAACCCCTTAAGGAGAACACGGTACAGAGAAAGTTGCATGAGTGTATTGGTCAATTTAATTTTAAATTACTTTGTGCTGTGCCTGGATTAAGAGAGGAGTGGAGAGCAAGACCTTTCGTTTCTTCCTTAGTATTTAATTATGTCCCAAATAATTAATCCTCGAAGTATTCCTGTAGATGGCCAAGTGAAACACTGTACCTGGAGAGCAAGACCTTTCGTTTCTTCCTTAGTATTTAATTATGTCCCAAATAATTAATCCTCGAAGTATTCCTGTAGATGGCCAAGTGAAACACTGTAAAGCTACAGTCTCATGACAATGGGGAATGTAGCAGCCTGGTGTTCCTGTGTCCTGTAGCCCCTTCTCTTGGGAATATGTTCTATATCTTCTGGAATACATGTTCTTAAAGAGTGGCATACTAAATGGAATGTAAATCTCTCATAGTTGTTCAGTATTGAAGAACATATTTATGAGCAATATGTTCTATATCTTCTTTATATCTGGAATACATGTTCTTAAAGAGTGGCACACTAAATGGAATGTAAATCTCTCATGGTTGTTCAGTATTGAAGAACATATTTATGAGAATTGAATTTTCCATGGATAAAATTAATTTTGAATATATATTGGAAATACAGAAAAAAGCCCACTTGGTTTGGAATGAGTGTTTTTCCACGCTTAGACTGGAATTAGTGTTAAATGCTTCTGGCCCCCTTAGCTTCCAGGTGCACTGTGGAAGGGTTAACTCTCTGCAGACTGGAGGAAATAGGCCTATGATTTGCATAAAAGTGTTTTACGTGCTGAAATTCATTGAAAGTGTTGAAAATCCTTCTGTAAAATGCAGTCCAGGGGTGTGACCGCTGTGCTGCAATTCTGGCAAAAGAGTGAGCCCTCAGTGAATGTGACTGATGTGTCAGTCATGAAAAGCTGAAATACTTCCGTGTGTTCTGCCCAAATGCCATCTCTCAGAATTTTAAATGAGTAAACCTAAGGGTTTGGGGTTTTTTTTGATGTTAATCTGCTTTTTATATCACAGAAGGCCCTGAATACTGCTCAAACTCCAGCAAAAAAGAAGCAGCGGCCTTTGGAGGCCAGATCAGAGGACAGGTCATCAGAGGACAAATCGTCCGAGGACAGGTCATCAGAGAACAAATCTTCAGAGGATAGATCATCAGAGGACAAATCATCAGAGGACAAGTCGTCAGAGGACAGATCATCAGAAGACAAATCATCAGAGGACAAATCATCAGAGAACACAGCAGATCCTTCTGGTAAAGTAGACTTTTCAGAATTCCCATACGGCTTTTCCTCATTCAAGATGAATGCTTTTCCATAACTCAATGGTTTTCATTTCTGATAGGTAGCAGCATATTGTTTGTAGAATTTGAAGGTTTTAGTTTCAGGTTTGGTCTAGATACTCGTTAGTGACAGTTAAAATGAGAAGCTCTGATCCCCACAGTTTGCATCCCTGGACTTGCCTATGGCTCCCCTGAGCGGGTGAAGCGTGTGATATCCCTGGCACGCAGTTTTGTGGAATTAGCTAATGATACTATTGCAAGAAACCTATTTGTGTATGGCTTTTTTTTTCTTTTATATATATATATGGTATTGATACAAAACATATACAAATATGATATAACAACTCATGGTTCTTTGAGTCATGGAGGTTGCCCAAACTCAGGCTAATAGTTTTTACAGCACAAACAGATTTATCTACAGCGCACTGTACAATTTATTAGTTAGTGTAATAAAGTGGACTTGTTTGGAATGATGAAAAATAAGAAATAAGTTGTATGTAATCGATCATCCAAATTCTAAAGTGTTCCCAGATAAGTCTATCATAGCTCCATCATCAGAGATGAGATCAGAGATGAGATAATTCATATTTCCCTCTTCTCAAGTTTCCTATTAAAATATTGATAATTTTTAGATGGTTATTTTAATGGTGAGCACAATAACTTTTCTATTATTTTAGAAGCAGTACCTGAATTGTAGAGTGCTTCTCTTTACTCTGTTGTTTCAGTGACTAGCTCGTGCTCTGTAGAGGTTTGGTGTCCCAAAGAGCTGAAGAGATCTTCCAGAGATATTACAGAGCTGGATGTTGTTCTGGCTGAATTTGAGAAGATAGCAGCAAATTACAGGTAAATATTCTGCTTTCCTGTGGCTGAATACCTAAAGTTCTAAAAACAAACCACCTGCGTTTTTGCTAATGGGCTGTCCTTTAGGGAATTGGTATTGCACACTTATGTTCTGATGTTATTTTAATGATATTTTTCATATGTGATCTTGAGGTGGTCTCCAGGAATTTGATACTTTTTCCAAGCATAAGAACAACACGACACAGATGATGTTTTTCAAAGCCAAATTTAAGCTATTGCCAGTACACAAAAGATCCACAGTTGCCTGTGCTAGCGGCTGCTTAACACTGGGGTTTATTCATTGCTCCAAGGAATGCTTTTGGATGAGATTTCTCCTTCACTAAACCAAATGGGTTGTGTTTTGTCCCCCTGACTCCTCCAGACAAAGGATAGAATCAAACGTTGGCAGAAAAGCCATCAACGGCTTCTGTTCAGCTTTCAAGGACCAGATCACCGACCTGGTAAGCAGACCGTAAACAAAATCAATTTTGTGGTAGTGATTATAGAGCTGTGTATTACATTGTAATCAAAATGCCTATGGGTTTATGTTGTCCTTTACACATTTATTTTATGATACTTCAAATTTTCTAACCTCTTGTCAGGATAAAACTGTTATAAAAGGTTGATGGTTTAACCTTTTTATGGCCTCTCAGTGACTGTTGTGTAGAGGCCTTTCTCAGGAAAAATCGTCCTTTTTTTATTAACAGTTTGAACCTAACTATAAAAAGCTTGTTCACTTGGAAGCCTAAGATTTCTTCTCACTAATTACAACAAGTAAAATAAACTCAAAACTTTGTAGGAGTTGTGATAAGTACAATGGATAAGTACTGAAAGTAGTTCTAAGTGATGGGCAGGTTTTAAAATGACTAGATTTATAGGTTTTTTAGAAAATTATAGAAAAATTAGGCTAGGTAGTATTACACTAATTGGTACAAGAATTATTACTTGCACTAACTGGTGCAAGATGACTGATTTTGTGTAACAGTCTTCCTCTGGCCCGAGGAGAGATGAAAGATACACCTGTAATCTTCCTTTGAACCAAATGTAGTAGCTTTAAATAGCTTTTTATATTATTCCCAAATAATTCTTGCAACTGTGTTTTTAGGAGGCTGGAGATGAAATCAAGTTCCATAGTCCCTCTGTAATTCTTCTTTTCCTCTGTAGATAAGGGAGATCCAGGGGTTAAAGAATATGAAGAAGAAAAATGCTAAGGTAAATACATAGATATCACTATATTCTACAGCATATGGAGGTGGGCATTGAAATTTCAAGAAGTTGACTAGAAGAAATAAAATAATATACAAAAAAGTGTACTGTGCTACAGAATCAACTGCACAAATAGAGAACAGGGAACCACCAGAGGTTTTTTGGGAAAGATCTGAGTAAAACTCCGTACATATACTGCTATTCTGGTGTAAAAAGAATAATATACAAAAAAGTGTACTGTCCTACAGAATCAACTGCACAAATAGAGAACTGGGAACCACCAGAGGTTTTTTTGGGAAAGTAAAACTCTGTACATATACTGCTATTCTGGTGTAAAAAGAAGGAATGCACATTAGGATGTGTAGGTATCTATATATGTGAATGTCTCTTTTTTTTTTTTTTTTTTAAATAAACACTGGTGAGGCCTCTGGAGAGCCCATTAAATCTTGAGAGCTCACCTTCAAGAAACATAGGTGACTATAAAACCTGGGAGAGCAGGTGACCTGTGGGGGTAGAATTGGATTGTTTAGCTGAAAGGAGAGAAGTCCAAGGGAGCTGCATTCCCTAAATACCTGCAAAATCTGGCTGAAAATGCAAGAGGGGAGTGTTGGCAGGAGGAGGAATTAGTGTAAGAGCAGGAAAACATGGCAGTGCTCTCATCAGGAGAGAGGTGGATGCCCCGAAGCAGAGATTTAAGAAGTTTTCTGCCTGGATTAACCTCTTCCTTTCAATGACAAAATAGCTTTTAACAAGTAAAGTCAACAGAAAGCTTGTTCAATTAGTGTGCTAAAGTCTTGGCAATTTGAGAGAGAGCTTGTTCTGGGAGGTAGCAATTAGTGTGCTAAAGTCTTGGCAATTTGAAGTGATACAGTAGGCTGCTCTGCAGGTAAAATGAAAATTTGCATACACATCTAGTGTTCTTATTTGCCTTGTAGACAGTTGTTTAAAATCAGATTTGTTAGGTGTAGCTGCTCTGCAGGTAAAATGCAAATTTGAATACACATCTAGCGTTCTTATTTTGCCTCTTACACAGTTGTTTAAAATCAGATTTGTTAGGTGTGAAATTTAGATTTTTGATCAGTTTTGGTTTTGTTTTTAAATCAGATGTTGTCTTAAAGGCAGGTTAATTATGCTTAATTCTTTAGTTAACGGCAATCATATTGAACGTACATTTGTTTTAGTCTGCATTTTTAAAACAGAAACAAAGGAAAACCATGGTTGTGTTGGAGTTCAAAAATATCACAAACTCCTTTTGCTTGTAAATCCGGTGTTCCTTAAGAGCATTTTGGATGGAGATGAGAGTTTAACCCTTTAAAGTTCTTTAAAATGTCTAAAATACGAATTTCAAATATGGTGGTCTACGAGGTCTGGTATCTTGGGTTCTTCCACAGCCAGAATCAGAAGCGTAAAACTCCAAAGAGAAAAAGCTGATGAAATTGGAGATGTTTGCCTTTGAAGTTACAGAAGCATTTCAATGACTTTCCTCACTATTTTTTTCAGGTTATAACAGACATCAAAAAGAAAAGGCAGCGACTGTTGCAGCTCAGGGAAGAACAAATTGGGTATGTAGCTAATGACACACAACAATAGCCTGAAGAACTGAGCATGGTATTTTATAATTCAGAAGTGAAAGGAACTTTTCTGGGGTTTTTTTTCATTTTATTTTGATGAAGCTGTACTTCTGTATTGCTTCACTGGTTTTACAAAAGCTCAGGATAAGCTCTCCTGTCTATATTTCAGTTGCTTTAGACAGTCATTCTTGCAAGTTCTCTGGGTTAACTGGTAACAGGGATGGTATTTGGTGCCATATGCTTGTAAGAAAAACACTTAACGTTACAATTGGTCGTTGCTTAGACAGTCATTCTGGCAAGTTCTCTGGGTTAACTGGTAACGGGGATGGTATTTGGGGCCATATGTTTGTAAGAAAAACACTTAACGTTACAATTGGAATCACAAAGAGGATAAATCATAAATTTGCACAGAGTTTTTTTGGTTCTGAGGTGGGAGAACATATTTTGTTCACCTCTGCAGTGTGACAGGGATGCCTCTGAGTAGTTTCCATCTCCTGTGGCCACACGATTCCCCTTCTCTAACCTGGCATTAATCTTAAGTATCATTTAGATACACAACACAGGAGTGATGTTCTTTGGAAGAACACTTGGGCTTCCCCGAATCCAAGCTGCATATAACATACAGGCTTTTCCTTGAGTCTTTTGCAGAGGAATTACGTTCGTAGTTCCTCGTGAAATAAAAACGCAGATACAGTCATCAAGGCCTTGATCTTTTTCAGGGCTGAACGGCAACTGATGCAGCTGCAAAGAGAATGCGCCGAGTTGCAGGAGAGGAAATCTTCCTTGAGGCAGGCAACTGAGTTACTTACTGATTTAAAGGACTTACAGCAGGACTGTTTGAATTATAGAGAGGAAAACCCAAAACAAAAAGTGGTCGTAAGTACATATTTTGGGGTGTTTCTGAACTGTTCTTCATCAGCCCCCCTCACCCCCGCCCTTTTTTATTTCCTGACTGGTGGATATTTCTATTAATCTTTAAATTACATTGAATAGCAGTATTTTGTTAATTGTCTTTGTGGGAGCAGTGTGGGAATCGTTGCTGTAACTATAGTATCTTACTCTCTTTTTGGGGTCTCATGTTAGAAACTGAAGTATTGCAGAGAGGATCCTGCCCCCTTGCTGTCTAAGTCCAGGAGTTCAAAGGACGTAGAAGGTTGTCCTCAGGCCCAAGATTTTTTTCATAGAAATCGAAGAAAGATTAAGAGTGAGAAAGAAGTAACCAATTTCTTTTGTTGCTATTGTTGAAAGGTGGTGGGGGAAGCTGTGGTACTTCCCCTTAGGTAAGGAGGTTAATGCACAGGGCCTGGTGTGCTGCTTTCTGTTCCTACGTTCCTGCCAGGTGTAAGGAAATCCCACCCTTGGAGAAGACTCTTTCTCACTCTTAAAAACCATGTTGCATCATTTCAGATAGAGGAAATAGAAATACAGATACATAAATGATTTTTATTTTTTCTTCCCAAGAATTAAAAATGGTGCCTTGTCATTTTATTCCCTCAACAGTATGGAACTGCCAGCCTCCCTGCTCTTCTGGTGGAGTCACGGGGAATTCTTGGAGCAGAAAGACACTTCCAGAACATTAATAAGAAATTGGAAAAGGCTCTGGCTGCACAAAGAGGGAAGTCACCAGAGAAACATTAAGTCGTTTTAATAGAATTATGGACATTCGTTAGGCACAACTATTAGAACAGTCATTGCTTAAAGCTTGTTTAATCATTGTTGCTGTATTTTGCCTCAGTGTTTAGAAGAAGTCAGTGACTTCATCAGATATTGTCTCCTGTTGTCAAATAGTCAGAACATCAGTGAGATTAATGAAACAGCAATTCCAGGTAAAGTAGTAAAACTTTTCTGTGCTCTGTTGACAGTGTTGGGTTTTAGTCTTGGGCTAGTAATGTGACCTTGAAAGCAAGATATACTTTTAAAAGAGAACGCATAGACAGTGGTTGAACTATTAATAGATAAATATTTTTATTACATTTGTATTTGAAATAAAAAATTTCCTCCCGTTTCTGGAAGTAAAGAGATCTATTTTACTTGGCTTCTCATTAAAACTCAGAGGTACAGCTAAGGAACCAGAAGCTGTACAGCGGTGGGGGTTAAAAGTGCTAAACCTGGAGCATCATTTGTGAGGAGTTTTCAGTCCAGTACCCTTCAGCCCCATGTAATCCTCCACAATCCCCTCCTGCTTGTTGAAGGTCATGCAGTTGTGAGGATACTTGTTGCTCAGTTCTTTGTCTTCCAGCTCTGGAAGAGCATTTTTGGCCTCTGTGGCAGTGCCTTTGGCAGGAGGCAGGCGATATGCACCTTCGGTTAAAGCAGGTTTTGTCACTGGCCGTCCCTTTGCCAGCCAGGTCTGTGGTCACCTGCCACCTTCAACGCAAGGGTCCTGCTGCCCTAAAGCTTCCAGAAGAACTTCATCAGGAATTTCTTCCATGGCTTCATTCAGACTGTCATCTGCAGCTTCAGCCAGTTCCACGTCATCGGTAGCTTCGAGGAAACAGGCGTCATCGCTTGCGTCGTCCCACTCGCTGTCTGACCACAGGAAGCTTTTTTCTAGAGAGACTGACCTTTCTGACAAGTCTAATGCCTTAGAATGTGGCTCTGGTTTCTCTTCTGAGTTCCCCCTTTCATCCACCAATGCAAACTCTTCTTCCTTTTAGAAACAAGAATACCATTTATTCCACTTTTAAACTGAAAGAGGGGAGATTTAGATGAGATCTCAGGAAGAAATTCTATATTCTGAAGGTGGTGAGACCCTGGCCCAGGTTGCCCAGAGAAGCTGTGGCTGCCCCATCCCTGGAGGGGTTCAAGGCCAGGCTGGATGGGGCTTGGAGCAACCTGGTCTGGTGGGAGGTGTCCCTGGTTAAAACTAATTTTAGTGTGTGTTTAAACATACTGTCAGGACCTGAAAATGCATTTAAATTATACTTTCTATGAAATAAGCAGATCATCAATAGCTATTAGTGTTAAGTAGCACTTAACATGCCATTAATCTGGCACATATGTGATGTAATATGACATTTAAAAGTGTAAAATTAAAAGTTGCAAAGATGCCAACTCTTACTGCTTACTCAGTGGAAAAAATTATTATGGTCAGAGCTTAGAGTCTCAGTGCAGCATCAGGTTGGTTTAAATATTCTGCCCCCGTGGGTAAACAGAACTGCTTTAATACACTAAAACAGAGTTAAGCAAACTTCAAATTTGAGGGTCACTGACTTAGATGTGCCTCTGACTGGAGCATTCTGGGATCACGTCTACTTTTTGTGCTAGAGCTGCTGCTGGAGAACTCAGACATGGCTATATGGAGGTGCCACCTCACAGCTTTACTCACAAGAACTTCAGCGTGTATCGACAGGAGCAAAACGTACCTCTTTGAAAAGAAAAGGGAGACAGAGCCGAGGTGGTAATGGGAAACCTAAACCAAATACACGGCAGTAAGTAAAGTTAAGTTAACGCTCCAAAAAGTATTAAGCGTAATTGCTTGGAAATCGCAGAATACATACTTTGTGATTTGAAGTTTTGTTCTCTGCAGACAGGATCGTGGCACTTCTGATACCAAACTTCCTTCTTTAGGTCTACCAGAATCCTAAGAATGAAATAATTTAAGGTTTAGAAACAGCACGTAAATGAAGTGAATGGGCACAGTATGAAACTCTGACACTAAATGGACAGGGATCTATGGATATGGCTTTCATGCCCTGACATACTTCTTACACACTTCCAACAGTATTCAGGTTTCTTCATTTAAGTCTTAAAAGAAATATATTTTAAGACTAGCATTTGAAAATGAAATTTAGTTTAACTTCATTACATTAATGCTTTGTTCTTCCAAGCTTAAAGTAAGATTAGCGTATGGGCTCTAAACTGGAAGATAAGATTTTGTTGCTGCTGCTGGTACAGATCATTTCATTACAAAAACCAGATAAAAATCACTGTTTCCTGTCAACTGATCAGACAACCCAGTTCATTGAGCCTACTGGCTGTGGGGCTTTTGATATAGATACATCTTTCTCAAAAACACATTCTTTATCTTTCAGTTATTTTAAATGTTATATAGAATTAGTTTTAAGTTAAAACGTTTCTACTAATGACATCCTGAAATTCTAATGTCCTGACTTTCCAACACTAATTTTGCTTTAAAAAAAAAGTCTGAGTCCTTGCAGAGTCACTGGCAAAACTCATCTCGACTGAAGTGGTAGCAGGAGCTACCTTTGTCTTTTGAATAACTTAAAAATGCAATTTAAGATGCGCTATAAATTAATTTAGGACTGATCTGTTTTCTTTATCTTATTTCTGATGAAGAAGCATCAAAGCACGGTTCCACTTAGCTTATTTCTGATTGTTCAGCTTCCTAATGAAGAAGCATCAAAGCACGGTTCCACTTAACCACTTCACCATACTCTGATTTGTAATGTTGGCATCTTTAGGTGGGTATTTTAAAGGGCGTGAAGATGACTTTTTTCAGCATTTTTATAGAATAACAGTTAAGCAGGAAAATAAAAAAGGCTGTCTTAAAGTGGATAGTCCAAGAACATACATTATGTTGTTACTTTTGTGAGCTCTTCCAATATTTTCACACCAACGATAACCAGAAATATCGTATACAAGTATTTCTTCCAGAGAGAAGTAATTCCATCGCCGTATCCCTGGGGGGCAAAAAAATAATTAATTAACTCTTTAAAAACCACTGCGGAATACTCATTTCTAAATAGCAAAATGGTCTTTACCTCCTTGCACCCCGTCTTTATTAACCAAAGAATGAACAAAATGATCAATTTCTGGATATGGTGACTCCTGATAACCTTCCATGGGATCTGTTAAAACAAAGACCACCGATAAGCACCGTTACTGATTTGGTTACTGTGAAAGGTAATTGTTATATAGAGCACAGACACAAAACACATGTGATTGATTGATTTGCACCAAACCCTTCAATAAAACCAGGGGTAAACCCAGTGTTTATTTCCCATCCACCTTTAAACCATGTGGGTGGGAGGGGGAGGGCAAATGCCATTCAGGCCACCTCTCCTAGAGGTTGTCAGAGGTGTCAATCACAGCACCTCCAATTTAAGAAGTGTTTTTTTTTTCTCTTTTACTATAGAGTGGAAAAGGCTCGAGGTACCTCTACTGCTTCTGGGAGTTTCCCTGTTTAAAATAGCAGATGTTCTTCTCTCCTCAGGAAAGCCAGATGACAGCATGCGTGTGTCATCCCTCGTTCTGAAGAAAAGAGGAAACAAAGGAAAATGTGTGATTCTTACAGCGTAAGGTGGTGTGGTGTAACATCCTGTGACATAACCCAATGAGACACAACAGAGAACAGTCCTGGGCCACCTGCTCCCTGCCATCCTGATGCCACCTCCCACTGTCCCTCAGGCACTTTTTCCTCTGATTTGGGCGGTTTCCCCCCACTTCACACACCAGCAGAGGGCAGGGATCCCTCCTCCAGAGCACCAACGTTGGGATCCTGGCAAAAATCCCTTCAGAGGGATGTACCAGTTTATGTGGTTTCCCCCAACTTCACACACCAGCAGAGGGCAGGGAACCCTCCTCCAGAGCACCAACATTGGGATCCTGGCAAAAATCCCTTCAGAGGGATGTACCATTTAACCTTCTCTCTGCTGCAGCAACGACTGGGATCATCTTAAGATAGAAGCAGCTCTGGGTAAGATATATCAGAGGTTTAGATACAGTAACCTTCTCTCTGCTGCAGCAACGATTGGGATCATCTTAAGATACAGTCAGCTTTGGGTAAGATATATCAGAGGTTTAGATACAGAAAAATTGATTATTGTATGTACCAGTATCCAACCTGTGGAGGGATCTGTACCAAATGGGAAACACGAGTAAAGACAGACAAAAATCCTTTTTTTACCTTTTTAATCATGCTTCAGAAAATATTTTTCTGAAGTTTTCAGAATTTTTCTGACTTTTCAGATTTAATTAACTGGAAAACCGTAATTTTTCCCTTCAAAGCTATACAGAATAGAGAAACGAGGCACAACTCGGAAGCAGTACCACATGTTCTCTGTTCCTTGACCAACTGAAGGTAAGTTAAAAAATAAAATAAGAAATTTTAAAAAAAGGAAAAAGAGTCCCAAGAAATTTTTTCTTCAAACTGAAGGAATTCTACTGGAAAGAAACTCCTAAACTATACTGTAACGACGTTCATGGAACAACTGCCCATTGATAGCAGTTATTTGTAACTGCTGCAGGAGAAAAACCACTAAAACCACTAAAATAAGTATTTAAAATATTTTCCAATCCATTGGAATGAAACAATTACCTAATATTGCAGATCAAGGAAGAAAGAAAATAGGCTTCTTCCAAGGAAACATTCTCTTCGCAGTGAGGGACAAACTGATTATCCTCTGCTATCTTCAGAATCACATTTTTTCCTGCTTTTGATGATTTATACATCCGGAAATTTCTGTTCTTTGTATAAACTCCTGCAGGAAAACAAGTATTTCTTAACATAACAATGCTGGCTGGGAGTTAAGATACTTAGAGCTTGCAAATTAAGCAGTTTTTCTTAGACCCAGCCACGGGCCTTAAGGACGGACAAAAACTCTCACTGACTTCGGCTGACATCCCAGAGAAGAAATGCAACACAGTTACACAGGTACATTTTTATGTCTATATAAATATTTATATTTTCATATTGTATATTTATATCTTATGCTTATGTTATTAAGACACTCAACACCTCTATGTAGGTGTTTTAATCATTCTGACATTACCATTGCTAAAAGTTTCCCTTCAGTATAAGAAATCGGTGCTTTTACACAAAGTTTGTGAAATGCAACTAAGCTTAAAAGGCTGCATTATTATTTCAACCAGAAAAGACTTAAGATTCATCAAACTTCCTGTTTTCTGTGGACCAGACACCACTTGTCTGAAACATGTACCCAGAAAGGTCAATTCTAGTCTCAAAACCAACAACAAAAAATATGAGTTATCTTTAAACATTGCCTAATCTAAAAATTTATTGAGGATGTGGGTGCTTTATTTGTGGGTTGCATTTCATTTTCACGAAGATAAAAGAATTTCCAGAACTGATGTAACAGGAATGCTGCATAGCTTTCTGTCACTGCAGCCTCATGATGTAACTCAGTATTTCCAGTTACTTTGATTTTAGCTTTCCAGTTTTGAGGTGATGTCGTAACATAAATATTGAGGATGGTTGATTTTTGGGGAGTAACATCGAATTCTTAAAAGGTGATGCAGTAAATAACGTTTTCAATTTCCACTCACAACTACTTTTGAACAGTAGGTGCAAAGTAATCCTGAGTCAGTAATGGAGAAGCCTATTATAGGGCCTTATAGCTTGGGGATTGCATTTCAACAAGTCAGAGATACTGACAAGGCCAGTGAGAAATTGAATCCTGAGTTCCATGAGATTTTGAAGGAATTGGGGATTCTTCAGAGAAGTCTGAGCAAACCCATGATGAAGTCCTCAAGCACATAAGACACTGCTGTGCAAAAGGGTGCTAAGATGGGGGGCAAAAAGCAGAGCAACCAGCTGTGGGGATGGAGAAGGTTGGAACTTCCTAACTCTGGTTTGACTGTGGCTGCTGTGCTCCTGGAGATTTTTAACATTTTAATGCTACAAACGGGCTCAGCCCAGCTGGGGCATGAAGTGCCCAACCCAACATTTCTGTCATTAAAGCCTGAAACTGCCATTCCAAAGAGGGGACAAAGGCTCAATTCACACGTGTAGAACAATACAGAACATCATGCCTTTAAGGCTTGTTCCGCAATTAAGCAGCTTCTAATTCAACCAAAATGACACAAAAGCCATACACACTATCCTCTTTTAATCCACATAGGAGCATTATCCTTAGGAACAAGGATAACTCTTGTGTGGCAAGAGTTTCTTCAAACTTCAGAAGAAAATAATTAAATGTAGTAATAGAAGAAGTTCCATGGACCAAGAGTCTAAGGCTTCTTGAAAGTACAGCGTTTATGAGCAGGGTTTCAACACGTACTGTGTTTGGTTTAAATTCTGACCATAGGGACAACAGTAAGATTAAGGATTAATCAAAGATTAAGGAACATCTCATTTAACATTTGTTCTACCCCCAAAGAGGTTTAAAAGCACTTCTTATATTTACCTAGATCCACAAAAAGTTGCTTGTCTCCATCTTTACCATTTACTATTAGAAAGGCAAATTCTGAATTTTCTCCCTGGTGTGATGTTTCCGTGTCCTTTGTTTCATGGGCAATGGCTGCCCACCCTTCAGAAGCATCTTTGATGGCTGCCAGGTTTGTAAGAGAACCTTCTAACCCAGCTGCCTCTGCAGAACACTGGAGAACATCTCCTGCTCCTCCTTCTGGAGTCACAACAGCAGCTTTGCTCTTCAGTAACCTCACAGCAGGCTGCAAAATGCTTCTCACGAAGTTACCTTAAAAACAAACACATACCAAAAACCCCCCAAAGCAGATAACATCATTTACGAGTCAAAAGAGAACTTGATAGTTCCTGTGCAAACATTTTTCATAAATGGCCAAGATGGAAGTGGTTGGAGTTTAGGGTTGCTTTTCTCCTGTTCTGGATTTTTTAAAAAACTCCTTTGGACCAAGCCGAGTGCACAAAATGGTTCTGGTTCTTAACTAAGAAACCCGTATTTGGAAACAATTTTTACTAATGTCCTGGTTTGATTTAATATTTCAAGTACCACTTAGTGAAATTCTTCAATACATGCTTTCCCTAATTTCACTTTCAGAAAATAAAAAAGGTTTACTTGCAGCTTCACGGTGTATCAAGTGGCGTAACAGTTTGACCAGGGCTTACTGGAACAACAAATTACTGTTACAAAAGTATTTTATAATGACTTTTCAAACTCCTAGCGTTGTAATCCAGCTCCCATTGCACCCCAGGCTCTGCCAGATGGTAACCAAAGACAGGCAGTTGAGAACCAGGGCAAAATTACTTGCAGGGAGAAAGAAAAGAACAAATACAGATGTGGAAGAAAAACTACAAAGCGGAAGGAATCGTGGCACGGAGGGTTCTGCAGTTGTTGGTTGAAGCTTCCATGGGGAACCTGAAAGAATATGAACTGTAGGTTCCTCCTGTGCAGCTATCAGCAGAATGGCTGGGTGTATCGAGCCTTAATGTCACCATTCTCAAAATTAATTACAGGACTGCTGAGGCACACAAATGATTCATTGTCATAAATAGTTTTAACCCTGAGTGTTCAAATATGCACACAGAATTTTTGGTCTTTGTAACAGGAGTTACTCAGATCTTCAGGGGAAAAACGTACCTATTTCAGAACTGAAGTTAATTTCAATCATAAAAGCTCAAGTATCTTTTAAAGTCCTGGTTGACCACTTCCTTTTTTTTGTGTGTAATTAAGTAGTGATCAGTCTGGTGTCAGAACAGCAACATGTCAGTAAAAGATTATTTTGGGTGTTAGTTCTTGATTGCTCACACACACCTTTGTTTTCTCTCTTCCGTTTCTTCTGACTGATCAGATCTGGGAACTGAACCCTGCATTTCACACTTTTGATCCTTGACAGTATTTTTATATTTGGAACTTGTCAACTATGTAAAAACTATAACAAACTATACTAACTATACAACTATTCTATGTATACAAAAATTCTATGTAAAAATCATTGATCTCCACAGCTTTCCTTTGGACCTACATGGTCTGTGCTTTCTCACATGAACTACAAACTCAGCCCCTGTATTTTCATTCTAACTAGTATATTATATATAAATATTATATACTAAATGTTTTTAATCATATTTCATTTTAAGCCCATGCACTTTGTGCATGACAGCTGGCATAAAATGCTTATGAAACAATGTCATCCAACATATGATAGTTCATATTCTAGTTTATGCCATGTAAATACCAATACCTCATCTTAATTATTATTAGACAGAACAACACAATGATGAATTTAAAGAGACACTTGAATGTGTCTGAAAAATATATTAACCTTTTAAAGTTTACTATTAGGCAAAATCCATCACCTCAAAGAATTTTCGTATAGATTCTGTGAAATTAATTCATGAAGTAATCTGCATTTTCAGTTATTTACTACAGCACAGTATTTTGCACAGAGTACACAGCTAATACATTTTAAGCTAAGTTTGTCAAGCAGGTTACTAAAATGCATTAATTAAAAGTCTAGAGTATAATGTTATTGTTAACAGGCATGAATTTAACACTGATATTTATCTCAATTATAGAAGAAAATATAAAGAAGAAATAGAAGAAATTATCTCAATTATAAAAGAAAATCAGTTTTTACTGTGACTTCAACATTTTGTTGGAAAGGCAAAGGCAGAAGTTGAACACGCAATCTCTAAATATATTTTAAGTCTGAGAGTAAACATGTCAAATTCTCAGAACACTTGACTAATGGACCAGAATAAACAGTTCCAGCTTCTACTGAAAGAACTGCCTAATTTAATCTTGTTATCAAGATCACAGGCTAAAATCGCTGTCATACCAAATTATTTATCATCTGTGTGTTACTTAAGAGTTTTACGGTGGCAGAGGAGTTTGAGACCATACTTTCAAACTAAAAATTGCAGTTATCCCATTTAAGTTTTTAGGGTTTGGAGCTGTTACCACAACATCATGTAAGAAATGACTGCTCTGTGTCACACTTGGGGCTGGCAGCCAATATTACAAGCATTTGATTATAACTTTGACAATGTGCTTCACTTGCCACATTGGCTACTCCTCAAAAGGTTTAGGGACATGGATTCTACTGATCCTAAGAATGAGAAATAGGTTTATTAATGTTAAAAAAAAGCAGAAAAAATTGGTTCTGAGAAATCCTATGGCCTCTGTGTTGGAGTAAGGATCTGAATTTTGGCTTGAAGTGATACTTAGGCACAATGTGCTTCACTTGCCACATTGGCTACTCCTCAAAAGGTTTAGGGACATGGATTCTACTGATCCTAAGAATGAGAAATAGGTTTATTAATGTTAAAAAAAAGCAGAAAAAATTGGTTCTGAGAAATCCTATGGCCTCTGTGTTGGAGTAAGGATCTGAATTTTGGCTTGAAGTGATACTTAGGCCATGGACTACATGCGTTTATTAAAAATATCTGGAGAAAAAAAATAATTGTACATGCAGGCAGACCGACAAGATCCAGCTTCTCCTTACAGTTTGCTCCCAATGTGCTCCACTTGCCACATCAGCTATTCCTCAAAAGGTTTAGGGACACAGATTCTACTGCTCCTAAGAATGAGAAATAGGTTTATTAATGTTAAAAAAAGCTGAAAAAATTGGTTCTGAGAAATGCTATGGCCTCTGTGTTGGAGTAAGGATCTGAATTTTGGCTTGAAGTGATACTTAGGCCATGGACTACATGCGTTTATTAAAAATATCTGGAGAAAAAAAATAATTGTACATGCAGGCAGACCGACAAGATCCAGCTTCTCCTTACAGTTTGCTCTACTCCAGCTGTTCCTGCTGACAGGACCTTTCATAGATGATTCCTCAGAGCAACACAAAACACGTGTCAACCCTACACAGCTTTGATCCAGCAGTACATGTGAACTCCCCGTGAAATAACTGGTAAATTCAAAAGGAAAACAAGATTTTCAGTACTGCTGTACTGGGCTAGAAAGAATCCCAGCGCTGTGTCATTAATCACCGTGCTGTCCTTGGGTACTCAAAGCAAAGAGCCCATAGTCCCTGTGCTCTCTGCAATCCCCTGCTGGGACATACACACTGCACAGGAAGAAACTACTTAAAAACCACAGGAGGTATAAAAGAAGAAGAAATACAGTACAAGATTTACTCAAGACTGGAATGAGAGAAGATGCAGAGCTAGAAGAAGAGATAAGGGTGAGAAAGGAGAAGGAAAACTGGGCATGAAGAGAGTCTGACAGAGTGCGACAGCTTCTCAGTGTAAGAGAGAACAACACACTTACCAACATGAATATTATCCTTAAATGCGGTCTTTTGGGGTAGAAATATTAAGTGTCGACTAAATTTTTCATCAGTACTGGAATCTAAATTCAAGACATCTTTGGCTGAACAACTTACATCATAAAGTTCTTTTAATTTTTGGCTGACAAGCTGAAATTATAAATATTAATTAGGCTATTTTCTCTAGCATTTTTAATAGCAGTATCTATAAAACCTAACACAAATGCAGATTCTACATCTTTTTTCAAGATTTTTTTTTTTTTTTTCAAACTAACTCATAACACAGCAAATTTGACCTAGGCTGTATTTCCCGAAATACGCAAGTCACTGAATATACTAACAGTGATAAGCTCAGCAGATTTTCAGTTTCAGGTCAAAGTCAAATTTAATGCCTTTATCTTTGTGGTTTGTTTTTTTTCCACCACAAAGCAGTTCACACCCACAGTGACAACGTTTGTATTGCAGGCTCACCTTGGATGGAAGACAGAGGCTATACATATATATATATATATATAGGGTTAGTATTCACTGTTTGATTTAGATAATTCATTGGTATGACCCAATGAACACTAATAAGCAGGAAACATAAGGTGTCTGACTCTAAATAGCTCTGAAAACCTTTTATAAATTAATCTTGTGATTACTCCTGTTCAGGACTGGGACTCAGAACCTAAGGCTCTGGAAGCTTTGGATTTTAGCATCTTGGAACCCCCACCCAGCACATCCAAAGTTCTCTTCTTAACTTGAGGAATCTCTCGATTTCAGAATTAATCCACAATGGAGTAAACCCCTCCAGATTCTGTATCAAGAGTTCTTTACAAAGGAATGACCTCAATCGTGGTTTTCTTTTGTTGCTTTCTAGCTAGGGACATGTAAGCATTAGGAGTCTCACAACTAAATGGCAACTCACAAAGAGATTTTATTGGACCAAAACAATATCCCTCTAAAAACCTCCTTTATTTTCCACTTCTGACATACTGAATCTGCAGTGGAGCTCATTTTCCAATCAGATTCGCAATAAACTGGAAATTTGCACTATTTAAGAAAACTGATGATTAGCAAAGATATTTAACTTCAGGTAACAAATTGTTAAGTGCAGTCACCTCATGTTCTCCACATCATCATCAAACTCAACTATAATGAACTGCCACCTGAAGACACCTAAAATGAGGAGGGATTTGCCAAAGCCTTGACATATGACTGCACCGGCTGGCAAAGGAAACAGACTGAGGAATATCCCAATGGAACTTTTATTGATGCTACTCTGAAAAATACCTAAACACTCCTTCAGTTTTACAGCTTCCAAGTGCCAGAGCACATAAAACAATCTGCAAAAGCAAACTTATCCTATCAGTAAACCTAGAGTGAATACAAGCATTCCAACAACCAGCGGTCTCCATTTTCTCCTTTCACTTTCACATTCTCTATCTTGACTCTTCACTGTGCTTTAATGAAGTACTTTTTACTTCCTTAAAAATAACCACTAGGTCTACAATTCTTTTTCACTGTACTACAGAGTAATCAAGATAAAGTGGTAAATACTTTGGTTTCATATTAAATCAACAACAAATTCATATTAAGCTACAACATGACTTTGCTCCAGTTTACCTCAATTAATTTTGCAACCATACTCTTGCCATCCACACGGGGATTTGCTGGTTTGTAGAACTCCAAATCAAAATAAAGTTTGCAAGCCTCTTTTTCAGGAATGACTTCATAGCAATGCATAAGACTCGTTTTATAACCTATGCTAAGGAAAAACAAAAACAAATCACAACCTCTCATAATAAACATTAATACATACTTACCAGCTGCAAATATGGATCCCACAAGTCCTAAATATTCTTTTATTTTTCAATCAACCACCCATATCAAAAAAAGTGCTTTGAAAAATTCGTAACTAACTTCATCATCAAATATCAACAAAGATATCTGTCTGGCCTAGAATTTATTTGTTAAGTATTCTCCTCCTCCCCATCCCCTTTAAGTCTTACAACACATTCTGTCAACAGAAAAACTGTTAAGAATTTAAGGAATAATAGAAACTACAGTAAAAAACTTAGTAAGTTATCGTTCATATATCTTAAGCACTAAAAAGGAGATTACATAGACTTTTTTCCAACTGTATGAAAAATTAATCTAATTTTCAAATGGAGAAAAAAATTTCAAGCTTAGTTTTCATATAAAACTTGACTCTTAGATTGTGCTAGCCAGAGCAGCAGACGGGTACTGGGGATAGCTACCCAGTAACAGTCATTGCCAGCCAATAGTATATCCAGTATAGTACTGTCTTACAGTGACATACAGGGGACCTTATCAACTACTCACGTGTAATAAAACCAAAGCTCTTTATACGTTGTCACAAGGTAAAACCTCTGTCCACTCTGTGTGTTCTTTTCCAAGGCAAAAACATGGACGTCCTTTTAAAATAAAAGCATCGGAGGTTTTTTTTTTATATTCCAAGAAATCAGTTAAAGTCTTCAGAACTTCAGTCTATGATTCTAAGTTCCTATTTGACATTCATTTCTTTGGTCAAAGGTTAGTAAATACTAGGAAACTTTAAGAAAACTTATCGTTTTTTAAGCTAAGTAGCATCTGTTTTTAATTAAGAACATAATTCTGATTTCAGTTACATGAGTAAAAATGTGAAGCTTTTCTTTGCTCTGTATTAATATAAACTCTCTTTTCTCTGTAAAGTCTTTTTTTTTTTTCTGATCAGTGGCAAGCACATCTAATGGGAAGAGGAACAATGTCCTGAAAGGAACAGCCTCATGTTCCTCACGATGGCAGCATATGGCTTTATAGCAGGTATTCTTTAGACTCTGTATTATTTAAATCCAAAAATGAAATCTGAAAAGAAATAAAAAAAAAAATAACCCACCCCGCTACTGCCAAACCAACAAGAGTGCATTTTGGAAAAGAGACTGTCAGGATCACTTAAACACCTAAAACAGCAAGGAAAAAAAGCCAGTGCTTTCTTTAAAAGCAGCAATCATTTTGAAAAGTATTGAACTGAAAACATTTTGCATAATCTTTATTTGGCTCATAACTTCTTATCATCTGAACTTGGAACTCTGATGCTATTGGAGAGTTCTACTGTTTTTATTTTGTCTCTGCCTCCTGTTTATCTCTTTTTCTTCCCTTTTTTCCTCCTCTTTCTTCCCACTCAACTCTCTCTACCTTCCCATTCTCCTGCCAACCCTGACAGCTCGCTCGTCTTCAGAAGGAATAAATCTATCACTACAATGATACCAAAAAGCACTTTTACTGTTAGAGGTTAACACTACAGATCAATTCACATGTTAGAACTAATAATTCTTAGAGCTACCTCCAGTGTAGTACGATCTCCCACAAAGACAAAAAAAACCCCTCTTTGCTGTTTCAGGACTGGGGAGAAGAAAAAAAGAAACAAAAAACCAAACCACTTGCAATCTGATAAAGATTTTACTATCAACTAAATTTTTAAGTTAAGTTCAACCTTGAAAGTACCTGAAGTGTAGAGACATTCACCTAACAAATAATTTACCTCTTTGCAGGTTTTCACATAATTGAAAGCTTCACCCTGACGACAGAATATTTTCCAAACAGAGGATGGCTGAAAGGGTTTGGACAGTTTTGGTCTATAAACTGGAGGAAGAGGGTTTCTTTCATAGTAAGCTGCTAGTTCTTCCACTTTCTTCACTCTCTCTTCCCATTTTCTCTTCATTTGTCCTAAAGCAATTGCAAATTGTCAAATCAGTATCAGTTTCTGGTTGTTGCTCACTTTTAAAATACCCTGTACCCACCACTGCTTTTGATTTTGGTTTTGTTGAATGTATTTCATTTATTAACTGAAAGTAGCCAGTATTCCAAATCAACACCTGACCCTGCTATGATACTCATTTTAACATTGTTTCCACACGGTTTTGGAAGTAAGACTTTCATATTAATATTATCAAAGGTAAAAACAACAGAATATGTACAATAAGGGAAGGCCTATGAAGTTTCATTTTTGTTTACAGAATGGTATTGCCTTCCTCCTCAAAAAGTATTATGCAAACTGTGTTAATTGGCCATACAACATTAGTAAGGAGTGAAAAAATACTATTATTTCTGCTTTATGGTTGAGAGACAAATGAGATAATGAATTTGTATGGGTAGTACAGCAATTGAGTTACTGAGAAAAATTCAGATTTCAGTGACTCTACCTCTGACCTTTGTATCTCAAAGTTAAAGAACTGAAATCCAAAATGATGGCACCATTCTCCATTACCAACCTTTGCTCTTCATCACTAATACTTTCATCTGCTTTAAAATCTCATGTGCTTCCTTGCAATTTTAAGATAGCAATCTTATCTCTTTTCAAGAAATAGCACATGATGCAGTAATGCTTGCTATCTTGCAACCTTTAAACTTCTAGTCACATAAAGTAATCCAAATGATACAAAGTAACGTAGCAAAGGATAAACACACATTAACATATGCACAATTATTTGTAATTTTAATTAACTTTTTTCTGGGAAAAGTCATTGCCCCTCTGAACACCTGCAAATCAATAAAGAGCATCACTATGAAACTGTGAAACAGATGAAGAGGGGCAAGAAGCAGAAAGAGATGAAGGTGCATCTTTTTGTTCTGTCCAGCATAACCACTTCCAAAACAACCTCCCAGTTGCAATGAGATAAAAATTAAGATGACTATACACAAAAGTATTTAAACCTTTAACCAGCTGGATCCACGTGGTGAGTTTAAGTATTTCAATATTCTTGTGGGTCCCGAAGGCCAGATTTTAAATCCTCTGAATCCCCCTGCAAGTTTTCCACAGTAAAGATTTCTGGACACCTACATTTCTGCCCATGGTATGTCTAAGCCTGCCTGTGTTTTGATAGTTTAGTACCTACGTCAAGTTTAAATAATGGAATGGTTTTTTCCTCTTACAGACATACTACCTCTCTGACCTTACCAGCCTCCCAACCTGTGAATTTCCTTCACTCCCTTCCTTTTATGGCAATTAGTTTCTTCTTTGGGAATGAAACATGAAATTAGAGACAGCGATCAGCATTTCTCAGAAGTGCTAGCACAACTCTCAGTTTCATTTTGATGCTGTTGACTCTGTTGTAAATTAAGCGGGTGCAAAAGCCATTCCTTACATCAGCCCTTTGCCACAAGGTGACCATTAAAAAGAAGGGAAGCAAAGGCGAATTCCCATAATTCTCTACTCATTTTAATCTTCCTAGTTAGATCAAGACGTATTTTTGCAGAATCACAGCTGGGAGGATATTTGAACCTGGCAGAAGGCCAATGACCCTTGCTTTCAACTGAGATCTGTCACTGTTCTTGCAGCCCAAACACCCTTGGATTCTCTGCAGCCCAACGTGTTGGGTCTTTTCAAGATAACTTCAGCTCCTGTATTAACTACATCGAACACAACACATCTATTTATAGCTCATATAATTTACACCTGCAGATGAGGTGTAACTACAGACTAGCCTTTCGAGTTTACCGCAAAATTCCCACTTCATTGCCCTCTCTTCTGTCCCACCAGAAGTCAGGGGAGTCATTATTTTACTTGCCAGAAAGAAATCCTGTCATCACCATGTTTGGACACCAGTGTTTTTGACTCAGCAGGATGATCACATGAAGGCCTTGGGAAAAAAATGTGTCTCCTGGGAGATGACTTAAAGAACTTGCTATTTTGTTTCCTCCGCTTCAATGGAAGGCTATTTCTTTTTTAGCGATGAGGCTAGTAGACATCTTGTATTTTTATATCTTAGATGGTTGTGGGTTGGTGGGTTTTTTTAAACAAATGGACTCACCATTTCAGAAAGGGTAATTTTCTCCCCTGTGCTACCGGGGAAAAACAAACACAACCATGTGATTTCATCATACGTGTCCCTACATTTTTGTTAAAAAAAAAAGAAAGCCACGTACTCAAAAATCTGTAAAAATTGCGGCCAAAACACACTACCCACACCTGCTGAGAAACCAAGCTTAGACATGCAAATCAACCCCTGCTCAAAATACTGTGATTACATTGTTTTCCTGGCCTGTGTGTATCATGCAGCATAGCTCTATGGCAGAATTCATGCTGATTTTCTCCCAGCTACTGATTCAGCCTTAGAAGAACTTGTTAAATAACTTTCTCCCCAGTGCTAAGTTTCTTAACATTAGTGAAAATTAGCTTAGTTGTCTTTACATTGAGCTGACTGTGACATATTGACAACACCACTCATCTTCCCTCAAAAAAACAAGGAGCATCAAATTTCCATCTTGCGCTCCCAGTAGAAGTAGCTTCTACAATTAAGCTTTGAGGATTTTTGTGCAAAATGCAGGATATCAGACCTCGTGATAAGACCTCAAAAAAACAGGCTAGCGCCTGTTGTGAGACGCTGGAAAACTTAGTTTCTAATGTTAAACTTACTCTGACTCCTGCTACCAAAGGTCAATGTACAAATATGAAACTAACTGACCTGCAAGTTGGTGGTGAAGCTGAAACTAGCCCTCAGCTTCAGAGGGCTGTTGTGTGAGGCTGGATGGCAGGGCAGCAGGCATTTGTCGATTGGCTCTATGATGTCCAAGCTTTCCTCATGCAGCAGTGGGGAATAAACCCCACCATAAGGGGAAGGTCCTGCTTGGACACAGTCCGCTACACTCACACTTATCTAGCTCGCTGAAATCTGCAAGATTGTGTTAACCATCCCCACAAATTACTGCAGATGGTGATTACCTTCATAAACCACCATTCTGTCAGAAAAGTATGATTTTTCAGCGCGCAGAGGAACTAAAACAGAAGACAAAAAAAAAAAAACAACAGGATTTGAGTTACACCAAGTCAAACATCACGCAACAGGCTCAGCACTCGAAAACCCCACCAGCCTCGCGTGGGCTCTCCCACAGGGGTGGTGAGGTGGGTACACGGCGCAGAACGGCAGCCAAAGGCCCCTGTTCTTTATGCCCCTCCCTGTGTGACAGAGCACATGGAGGGGCCCAGTCCTCCACAGCAAGGTCTACATGTCTCCTCAACCATGGTGTCCAGGGACCCATCAGCCATGGCACTGGGCCCCTCAGCCATAGTGCCCAGGCCTCCCCCCTCAGCCATAGCGCTGGACACCTTGGCCATAGCACCCCAGCCTCTGTCAGACATGGCGGCCCAGCCCCCTCAGCCATGGTGCTGGGACCCTTGGCCATGATGCCCAGGGACCCCCTCAGCCATGGCGCAGTCCCCCTTGGCCATGACATCCACGGACCCCCTCAGCCATGGTGCTTGGCCCCTGGGCCAGAGCACTCAGAACCCCTCGTAGCCATGGTGCCCAGGGACTCCCTCAACCATGGCGCTGTGCCCCTCAGCCATGACGCCAAGGGACCCCCTCAGCCATGATGCTGTCCCCCTTGGCCATGACACCCACGGACCCCCTCAGCCATGGTGCTGTGCCCCTTGGCGATGACACCCAGAGACCCCCTCAGCCATGGCACTGTGCCCCTGGGCCATGATCCCAAGGGATCCTCTCAGCCATGGCACTGTACCCCTCGGCCATGATGCCAAGGGATCCCCTCAGCCATGCCACAGTGTCCCTGGGCCATGATCCCAAGGGATCCTCTCAGCCATGGCACTGTACCCCTCGGCCATGATGCCAAGGGATCCCCTCAGCCATGCCACAGTGCCCCTGGGCCATGACATCCCCTCAGCCATGGCATTGGCCCCTGGGCCAGAGCGCTCAGAACCCCTCTCAGCCATGGTGCCCAGGGACCCCCTCAGCCATGGTGCTGTGTCCCTGGGCCATGATGTCCAGGGACCCCCTCAGCCATGGCGCCCCAGCCCCGCTTCATCCTCGCACCACCTCCCCCTCACGCCCGGGAGCCGCCCGGCACAGCGGGGCACAGCATCGGGGTGGCAGGGGATTAGGGGGAAGGCAGCGGCCACCGACTCACCGCCGCAGCCCGCGCGCTGCCGCCGTTGGCGCCTGAAGGCCGTGCCG